GTGAGAAGGCGACTGCCGTGACCCAATCTGTATGGCCCTGCAGGCTGTGGCGTTCTCTGCCCGTGGCTGTATCCCATAGTCGCACTGTGCAATCATTAGAGGCTGACGCCACCATCTGCCCGTCAGGTGAGAAGGCGACTGCCGTGACCGGGGATGTATGGCCGTCTAGGACTTGCATACACGGTTCCCATGACTCTCGCGTCACAAGTACGTGCTTCAGAAATTGTAACCGCTCATCCCAGTAGAGCTTCTTGCTCTCACAGCTTTGAGGGCAAAACGCAAGTGCAGCCCCGTAAGTTTGCAAAGGTGCTTCTTGTATAATAAACCCATTACTAGTAGCAAACCTCTCCGCCTCCTTCAACATGGACTGATGCTGAGGATGAGTGGACTTAGTGTGTGGTATAGGCTTTCGTACTCTCCGGCCCCGGCCCGCTATTAGCTTCCATAAACAACTCGTTTTGTTCACTTCCGGTGTTGGTTTACCGACAACCATGTCCTAATAAAGTCAGATGGAATTGTATCGACGGTTAAGATCACCTACCTGGTGTCGGCGGGTCACTCTTTTGAGAGATAAGATGCCATGTTGAATCTCACCAATAAGTCCAAGGCTTTCTAACCAGTGAAGCAGATGTTTGCGGAAAAAATGACATATGTGTTCAGTTCCTGGTGGCTCGGTCTTATTGGTGGATTCTGAAATCGCTTCAAGATAGTGGTCCAACCAATACACGCAACTATATCGAAGGTGGACAAGTGGGTCATAGTCACCGTCTCGTTGGCAAGTTGCTATCTCAGAGGCTGTAATATCGGGTTTGTCGAGATTTAGACCGTAAATGTTGCGCCTTAAAGAGGTTGAAAGGGCTCGCAGTGACTGCATAAACATCCGGCGGTGAGCAGCGGGGAAGCCAGAGGGGAATATGCTCAGGGCAGCTTCTTTGATCAAAAAGTCCTTGGCGGACTGGTGGACAAAGTATATTGTTGAATCACGAACCGTGAGAAAGGAGCCGCTTCGCTTGATCATTGTCTCTAAATACTGAGAGTTTCCAGTGATCTTGTCTGGGAGTCCACACACCACTCCCAACTCTAGTAGGTGAAGCGGTCGATAAGCCAGTGCGGTCGCCGAGAGAATCAGCTGGCAGTACTCTCTGTGTTCATTCGATAATTGTTTCATCTGGTCAATCATTCGCTGATACAGGTCGTCCAATCCTCTTGGGACGTCGTTGACCACCTCTTCTACCTTCCAGCCGTCGACGTGCTCAAGTTCCTGGACGACAAGAGCCACCCAGAGAAACGTTCCTTCGGCTTTCTTCTGGAGGATTTGCTGCACATATTTTAGCAAGGTATCATCATCCTGTAGAGATTGAAGCTCCGCTATCCTGTTGGAAATGTATGCTCCAATAGCCAAGGATACAGATTGTGCATTCTCCTGCAATTCCAGGCTTAGTATGGACTGTGAATCATGAATCCGTGTTCGCTGCTTAACATGATTCCGGCTGGAAATAATCCATTTGACGTGCGGGAACTCCTCCATCCCTTGGAGAATAAACTGTAAGAGCTCATCTTGGTCCTGCACACATTCGTCAAGAGCATCAACCACGATACATATCTTGTCTGAGCTGGCGTCACGTAAGATATCCAAGAAAATATTACACAATGCAGTCCATGCTTCCGCATCCCTGAATCGCGGCTCCCCTGTGTCCTTAAATCTTTTCCGTACGTGGGGGAGAAAAGACGGTTCTGTGTCGACGAGCATAGCGATCAACCCGCGCAGGACAGCATGAGCGTTACTGAGCTCCGGGTCTGTGGCTTGACAGAAGAAGAAAGACAGGAATGTCTTCGCCAGGGGATCTTCCAGTTTCGTGGTCGGGCCAAGCTCATTGATGATACCACAGAGTAGCATCGTCTTGCCTTTACCAGGGTCACCCTTAATCCAAAGGACCTGGCTGTCGTTGTTGTTGCGCCAATGCTGGAACTGAGGATGGTGGAGGATCCAGTCGTAAGATTCCTTGAGGGCGGCTCCTCTCGTCTGGTGGATTCTCATCTTGACATTGCGCGGATCAGTCACTGCGAAGTAGTCGAGACAGCGATCTCTGCTTTGTCCGTCTTGCGAGCTTTCATGTTAGACTAAGAATGACCAAGTGGGAAAAATTGATATCCAGACGTACTTTCGACATTCTGAATGAAGGTGCTTCGATGGAACTATATCAGTATTGTTTGTCAAAGTCATTTAACCATCAGTATTAGCTTACGGATTAGTCGCGGTGCCTTGGAACTGGACATTCACCCCATGGTTATCCCACTGTTGACTCATCGGAGACGGCTAACTAACTAGTGAGGTGATGCTGGCTAGGCTAGGTCTGCTGTATAGAGATTAAGCGTATCTGGCTCTTGCACTGTAGTGTAGAGAAATGGGGTGGGGGACTGAATTAAAGCCGTCACTCCAAGGTCAATCAAAAAGGTTTCCGCCTTGCGCGTGATTGAAGGGGCAAGTCATTGAGCGGAAACAATTGCAGCTAGCAGGGCTGACTCCATCGGTCTTGCATGGTTTTGGAATAGGCATTGCCATCCGACTCCACGGTTGCTGCTGCTCTACTTGCAAGCCGGGCAAATGACCATCGGTGCCTGTACGTGGCGGATCCCACCACGCCGCATTGTCTTGCCACGTCACGTTCCCCCTCTTGCAGGTCGCCCCGTCTCGTGGGGCGGCCTCGTTTTCCGAGGAAGGGAGAGCACGGACCGCCTTTCCAGCCGTAGCTGAGCTACCTGTCACTCCTGCGCTCCGGCCGCCTCGGCGCCTACAATGAACTAGTATTCATAGAGAGCTTGTACTCTAGGTTGATCTCTTTGGTATAACTAAGATCATATCTCCCCAAGCAGTATACGCAAGAATCCCATCTCGAGCTTCCCAAACATATCACCGTCATCCACCTTTGTACATCAAACACGGAGACTCGCGTACCCCTACCAATATGTCGGGCGCGGAAGTGATTGGAGCAGCATCTGGGATAGCCAGTCTTTTCACTACGACTATTACCTGGTTTGACTATATCTACGTTGCCAGGAAGGCGGCTCCGCGACTACAGTCCCTGATCGTGAAGCTCGGCAGTGCGCAACTAAGACTAACGCGCTGGGGCCAGGCTGTCGGTCTCACAGGTTCAGATATCGAAGACGAGGAATCGCTGAAAAGCTCTGGCTCATTCCAGCTCGACGAGGAGCAGGAGACTCAGGCTATACGGACATTTCGGATCTTGATCACTCTTTTCGAAGAGTCCAAGAGAATCTGTCACAACGAACGCAAAGGAAAGTCCGAGGATGACCCTGACGTGAAAGCGAACGAAATCAAGCCGTTCAGCCAGGATGGCTTTAAGTGGAGTATTATGCACCGTTACCTTCATGAGACAATGCAAAAAGTTGTCCACGAGCGCAAAAACAAGATGTCAGTTCCTCGACTCTTCAAGTTCGCTGTTTATGACGAGAAGCATCTCGAGAAACTGGTTAAGGACATCAATGACCATATTGACTCACTGTACCAAATTTACACTCCTCCCGCGAGCGATGAAGAAGAGGCGGGCAAGCAGGAAATGGATAGGCTTCTCAAAGTCATGAGGGAATTGCGCTCTGCATCGGAGCGGGATCCAGTGATGAACACGGCTGTCAAGACTATATTAGACCAAAGGGTAAGTGGTGGTCGATCTATTCTCCTATCTTTCATCTATTATCACGTGGTTGACACTAGCAGAATGAAAATATGACCTTCAACACCACGGAGTCGACTGTCCAGAAAATAGGGCAGGATCAGCAAGGTCGCTATGAAATGACGATTGGATTTGATGCAGGAAAAAGAAGATAATGCTAAGTTAGCCAGCTGACTGCAATTCGAAGCGGTATATAAGTTTCATGTATGGAAGACAATGTGACGTTCACGCCTGCCAATTGCTGTCTTTCTTTCATTACAAAATTATGGCTTTTCGTTAATGGGCCGATCAGAGTTCCCGATAGTTCAAGAATCGAAAGTCTGTGCACAAGGAATCCTTACGAGTAGGCAACATAGGGAAGGCGAGAATTGCGTTGAGACCCCTTGGGAAGCTTTCCTGTGATGTGTTGGCGCGGCTGAATCGCAAGGATATGGCAGTGTTGTTGACCAATTACAAGAAGCCATGCGGGGACAACACGGGGGTGAATTCAGGGATAACCGAGAAATGAGGGGCGCTGACCTTCTCACCGAACCTTGGATAAATCAGCTAGAGAGAATTAATCTTCTGACATTCTTTATCTCTTCCGTTTATGGTTGGCTAGTTATCAAGGCTAATCGGGCAACCGGAATTTTGAATCTACCGGTATCCGCAGGGAGCTTCGTCCCCCAGCGGTCCAAACCGAGGATCACCGAATGAGAACGCATCCCACGGTAACCACCGCCACAGATCACGTATTCATAGGATTTGCTCATTGTGTTGGTTGGATGTCAACTCTCTGATAAGTAGACGGGATAGGGTTTTGTCGTGTGGACTGCGACCTCACGGAGACCAAGTAGGATTTTATAGCTTCATGAATCCAATGTCACAGCGGGCGGGGTCTCACGCATGGTTCCGAAGTGGACAGATTCAAGTGAGTCGATTTGCTTTGTCCGGAAATGGCCCCCAAATTACAGGATACACTAGCTAGAATCAGCTCACCTTTAGAAATGGAGTTGAACCGGCAAGTCTCTCAGCCCCAGAAACCACCACCGGCTGAGGTCTCGACTGGTGGAATCTCCACTTTTGGCAAGCCGCATCTCACGCACATGGCCCCCAAGTATCCCCGCCCGTGCATCAAGGTGATTAATCGGCGTAGCGACGCCTCTGATAAGCACTACTGTCATGACCCTCCTAAGTGCGCTTTAGGGTGAATTGTTCCAGGCAATGAGCAGCGACCAGCCGGCTATCGGGTACAAGACTGCCATTCTAAGCCACTTGGCTGAGAACGTGCATCACTTACAAACCATTCATAGATTTCACCTAGTAATATGTTCAAGGCAGATTTCTTCACGGCCCCATCACCCGCAAAGTGCCGGTTGCATCTCTTTTAAGTACAACAATTATGGGGAAAGGGCCCCCCAACCCCCGCCCCAAACATTGAAACCATTACATTAGCAATAGTGTATCGTGATATAGTGTGACCCGTGCCTGCAGGATACATTCGTCACAATGTATTCCCTTGGGCCCCACCACCATGATTCGGCATTGGCCCCCCATCTTATGCATAAGCATCAAACACGTGCAGAAATGAATGCGAAGGATTCCTTTTGAATCACACCAGGGTTTACTGGCTAGCGTAACTTTTACCAAGTTCCCCGCCAGCAACCTACCTCAGACCAAAGTCTCTCGCCGAGTCGGCGTTGCCATCCATCATCCATCTTTTCTGCAGCTGACATACTGATATTGCGCACTTTCATCAGTCTTGGATTATGTACTCGTTCTGAGGGGATAACTCTCCGCTTGTGGGATACACTTGGATCACCACAACAACGGGCTCCACGTCTCCTAGCTATGATTCCAGTGCCACTCGGGTGCCGGTCATCATTGGAGTTTGTGTGCCCATGGTCGTTCTGGCCATTCTAGCCACCGCTCTTCGCATCTGGGCGCGAGTCCTGACCAAGGTCAATTTGTGGTGGGATGATTGGTTATGCATCGTGGGACTCCTACGCCGCCCCGACCCGAATAAACCATATGACTTGTTCCATGGGAAGCTAATAGAGATATGATTCTCGTACAGCCATTTGCCATCCTACCCTCCATCTTCGACTTCGTTCAGATCAAGAATGGCTTCGGACGACCCATGTCAACAGTCTTCGCCGACAAACTGGTGACCTACAGTCTGTTCCTGTATATTCTGATGTTATTCTACAACCTGGGCCTCGCGTTCTTCAAGCTATCGTGTCTGGCCCTCTATATCCGGATATTTGGCGTTCATCGATGGATCCGCCACATGAGTTATATCATCGGCGGGATGGTCATTGCCTGGGTCCTGGCCAATGAATTGGCCTTGGTGTTTCGATGCCATCCCATCGATCTAGCGTGGAAGGGCAACGCCGAGCAGCAGGCTACATCCTGCATCACGCAGACCAACATCTTCATCGCGCAGTCGGCGCCGACCATCTTCTTCGATCTGCTGATTCTCATCATGCCCATTCGCGTCGTCTGGAGTCTGCAGTTGCAATCGACACAAAAGCTGGGCGCTATCTTGGTGTTTTCCCTCGGCTTGCTGGTCACCGTCATTAGTATGGTCCGGCTCGCAGGGACCCTTCACTCAACAGACACCGACTTGACCTGTACGTTTCCTGCGACTTGATTGCACCAAAACAAAAAAAAAAAAAAAAAGAAAAAGAAAAAGAAAAAAGATACTGACGTGAACAGACGGATACGTCGAACTCGGCATGTGGTCCGCAGTCGAGCCCGTAACGGGCTTAATCTGCTGTTCGGTCATGACCTATGGCTCATTTATCAAGAAACTCCGACAACTGGGCAAAGGCTACATCCACGGTAAATCCAACCTCTACAGACAATCGCACTCCTCCAATTCGTATGCCACGCATAATAAACTCACCAGTCCTCGATCCGCGGAGTATGCTCGGTCGGACCTCGAATTGACCGTTTGCTCCTTCAGCAATGAGACCCCTGTCGTGAAGACCGATCCGTTGGGGAAGATGCCTGACAGGGCAATAAATATCACGCATGAGTTTCACGTTCGACGAGATTAAATGCTCAGTGGGAGATGATCGCAACCCTCAGTGCTGGGATTATTATTTTTTTTGGAAAATTATGGAGTCGTTATATAATTCACTTTTTACACACATATAGATGCTGTAATGACAGTTTTCTACGTAAGCGTGTCATTCACACGGATATCAACTGACAGAGTAAAAGAAGCAACATAATCTAATGTACATTAAAACTATCACCGTGCAGGGACCGTCTAAAACACAATGCATTCCATCCGAAAATGTGGAGTCAGCCGCAACGGTAGCATTGATTGATTGATAGCACCATTCAAAAGTCAGGTGTTATCCACACCAACCGGCCTCCACCCGCCTCTTCCTCTCGAGGCTGATTTCACCACGCCCCCAGGGTACATGCATCCAACAAGCACAGAATTCCAGGCACCCCAACCAATCACATCTCCCACCCTAATCACCTCCTCCAGGTACCAGTGGATAATTCACCAACCATGAACCAGCCCCCGTCACTAGATAATGGGGAGGAGGAGTCTGGACACTGATTACGCCCCGCAGGTAAGCATTGAAGGCTGACAGATCATGCCATCCAACAGTGGATGCCAAGTTGTGATTCCGCAGGTGCCACGTACGGGTTGGATTATGCACCTAAGTGGAACAGAACATATGGTCGGTTTCCGGTCTCCGTGGAGGTAATCAACATGTGGCCTGTCGACTAGGTAAGGAATTGGTCACCAAACGCGTAGGATTCCACTGATAATAACAAAGGTAGCCTATATCCACGAGATAGACTGATCCTTCAAGGATCAGTAGTCTAACACTGAGAAGCATTGTCTTATAGAAAACGGGGAGGTTCGGAACCGCCACTGATGACCTCACGACCTCCATGACCACCCTAGCACGTCACTCCAAGGACCTTGATCCCACTAGCTGGGCTATCCTCAAGCTATCCTATCACATTATAACACCGTGTACGGGCGCCCCCACGCTACAGTGACTGTTATATTATTGGATATAGACAACTATAATGCCCAAATCGTGTTTGTATTTAGTTTGAATATAAAAATGCATGTTTTGGTGGCTTTATAGAGCTTTAAACTTTCAACCATAGTTTATTTCGGGCGGAGGTGCGTCACTCGCTTACCGATTATGTTATAATGGGGGAGGGGTGGGGGGGGGGGGTTGAAACTATGAACAGCCAAGTGATCCTTTGCCCCTCCATGATTTTCCTGCAAACTTGGGCTTTTTGGGTGTGATGTACCGATCTGAAGTCAGAATCATTGAGTCCACCGTTTCAACAACGTTCCTTTCCTCATGGCAATGGACCAGCCCGCACTAGTTCTATTCGGCCCGCAGACATCCTGGCCTAGCCATGCAAGCGCATCGCGCATCCGACATGATCTCATCAACGAGCTATCCCTCGCACCCCTCGCGGCCGCCATCCAAAACATCCCCGATCTCTGGACATCACTACTTGAAATCGAGCCCCGACTGGGTCTCACAGAAGGCCGCCGGCCTCTAGAACACCTACAGCACTGGATCGAGACCGGCTCCCTCCCGAGACGAGACACTCCGGACGAAATCCTCCCCAATGGATTTGCAACCCCCTTCACGGTCATTATCCAGGCCGTGGAATACTGGCGATGTTTTCTGCGGGGCGGGCAGTGGCCCCCCACAGGAGCAGAAGCGGGGACTGCGCTCGAGGGCATGTGTACGGGGTTTTTGACGGCTGTTGCGGCGGCGGTGGCGAGGGATTTGCCGGGGTTTTTTGATATGGCGGCTGTTGCGGTTCGTTTGGCGGCGTGTGTGGGTAGTCTTGTTGACTTGGGGGGGAATACGCCGGATGAAGTAGGGGATGCGAGAACGTTGGTGGTTAGGTGGAGTTCGTCGGGCCAGGAGGCGTGTTTTTGGAGGATTTTGGGTGTGCAGTCGAGTGTAAGTACCATTCTTGTGTCTTCGTGAAGGCCTCTTTCATCGCAGAGGCAGGAATGAGAGAAGAATCATCCCTCCTTTCTTCCCTCACGTCTACTGATCTCCGTGTTGGAATATTAACTCATATAGGCTTATGTGTCAGTACTCAAGGATGAAACAAGCCGCACGATCATCGTCCCGGCATCCGAAATCCCCCGTACCGCGGAAAAACTGTTGATGAACGGGTTGCGGGTACATGCCTTGGAGCGAAAAGGGAGATTTCACCACGCCAGCAATGAAGATCTTGCAAATAAGCTCATTGGGTTGAGCCAAGTGAGAGCTGATTTGCAGTTTCCTGATGCCCAGGACCTGCTGATACCCCTTCGACGGAATTCTGACGGGACACGTCTGTCTGAAGGTCCGCTGCATATCGTTGCCATCCGATCGCTGCTGTTGGAGCAGGTGGATTGGCTGTCCACTGTGACCGGCGCTTTGGAGTCGGTTGTCGTGAAAGAGAAACCAACGGTATTGGTACTGGGGTAGGTCAATGTGGTGCCGGATTGCTTAGTTCGGAGATGTCAGGCTCGTGTTTGTGTCTCTAATGACATTTCGCCTGGTTCTAATATCCTGAATGCGGTCAAAGAATCCGTTCCTGAGTTAGATACGACAGCTGGGGTGGAGTCGCCTGACAATGACAACTCAATCGCCATTGTCGGCATGGCTTGTCGATTTCCCGGGGCAGACTCGGCCGAGGAGTTCTGGCAACTGCTCGAGAGTGGAAAATCCATGCTTTCCGTCTTGCCACCAAATAGATTCCCAACCAAAGGCCTCCGGAGATCTGCAGACGCCACCATCTTTTGGGGAAACTTCATACAAGACCCCGACCAATTTGACAATCGTTTCTTCCAAATATCGAGCCGGGAGGCAGCCTCCATGGATCCACAACAGCGTTTGATTCTCCAGGTCGCCTACCAAGCACTGGAGTCATCAGGCTACTTCGATGGACAAGGCAACCCTACCGATACCAACATTGGATGCTATCTGGGCGTGGGACCGGTGGATTACGAAGCCAACATCAACTCCCATCAGCCCAATTCCTATTCCGCGCTCGGAACATTGAAAGCCTTCGTCAGCGGGAGAGTGTCTCACTATTTCGGTTGGACCGGTCCGTCGATGACATACGATACCGCATGTTCATCATCCATGGTCGCTTTGCACTCGGCCTGTAAGGCGCTGCTGAGCGGCGAATGCACGAGTGCGCTGTCCGGGGGTGTGAATGTGATAACCGATCCCGCTCTGTATCAGAATCTCCGTGCGGCGTCTTTGCTGAGTCCCACTGGTGCGACAAAAGCCTTTGATGCAGCCGCGGATGGCTATAGTCGGGGAGAAGGATGTGGTCTTTTTGTTCTAAAAAAACTAGAAACCGCATTGGCGGATGGGGATCAAGTCCTTGGAGTCATCGCTGGCTCCGCCTTGAACCAGACACAGCGAGAGTATGGAACGTCCATCACCGCGCCAGTTTCCAAATCCCAGCAATCCCTCTACCGGAATGTGCTGAGCCAGGCCGGCCTCGGGCCATCGGATGTGACGTACATTGAGGCCCATGGAACCGGTACCCCCAGGGGAGACCCGATTGAATGCGAAAGTATTCGAAATATCTTTGGGAGCAGTAATACCGGACGGCAGCAAACGCTCTATTTCGGATCCGTGAAAGGGAATATCGGTCACTTGGAAGCAGGCTCGGGTGCTGCCGCACTGTTCAAGTCCATCCTGATGCTTCAGAAGAAAAAGATTCCGAAACACGTAAATTTCAACACACTGAATCCCCATATCCCTCCATTGGAATTGGAGAAACTGGCCATTCCCACGGAGACGATTCCGTGGGATGCGTCACGCCGCGTCATTTGCATCAGCAATTATGGCGCCGCTGGAAGTAACGGTGCTCTCGTTCTGCGCGAGGCTCCCGAGGCCTCCAAAAGACCCACGGAGAATGGCTCTCTGCGATGTCAATTGATATCCATCTTTGCTGAGTCCGCTGAGAGTCTTCAAGCGTACTGTGATCAGCTATTGCGGTACCTTGCTGATATAGCTGAGAGGGATTTTCCAGCCGTCGCCTACAAGCTGGCCCGCATGCAAAATCCCACACACAAGTATCGTCTGTCACTCATTGCACGCTCCATCAGTGAGCTGCGGTCTTCCCTTACGGTACAAAAATACCTGACAGCGACCCCGTCATCCCCTGCAACGCCAAAGCCCGTTGTTCTGTGCTTTGGTGGCCAATTAAAGTCCAGTGTTGGGATCAGCAAGGAGCTATATCACTCAACTCCGCTGTTCCGCCACCATCTCGATCGTGTTGAAACCGCCTGTCAAGCATTGGGGAAAACGATTTACCCTTATATATTTTCGGACGAAGCCATCCAAGACGCGGCCACCCTTCATTGCTGCTTATTTGCCTCGCAATATGCCAGTGCCCAATCGTGGATGGATGTGGGAATCAAGGTTGCGACCGTCATTGGCCACAGCTTTGGTCAAATTAGCGCACTCTGTGTCTGCGGGGTGCTTTCCCTGGAAGATGCAGTGAAGTATGTGAGTGAGCGAGCATCGCTGTTTGACAGTGACTGGAGTGCAGAAAAAGGCACCATGCTTGCTCTGAAGGCAGATACTCAGATGGTGACCCGTCTAGTAGCCACCAGTGAAGTCGAGATCGCCTGCTACAATGGTCCACGCGATGTCGTGGTTGCAGGATCTTTCCCAGCTATTGAGGGTTTCCAATCCCAAGCCCAGGCTGCCGGGATCGACGCCCGACGCCTGGATGTAGCTCGTGCATTTCATTCGAGTCTGATGGATCCCGCTTTGCCGCAGCTGCGGAGAATCGCGAACACACTGACCTTTCATCGGCCACGAATTCCGATTCAGACTTGCACGCAAGGTCAAAGCTGGGACTTTTTTGGCCCACAACTTCTGGTCGATCATTCGCGCCAACCGGTGTTCTTTCATGATGCCGTGCAACGCACAGAATCTCAGTTTGGACCCTGTACCTGGATTGAGGCCGGTTCATCTTCCTTCGCGACCACGTTGGCATCGAGAACTGCTAGTCCATTGAACTCATTTATCCCTGTGGATATTGGTGACCCCAGCCCCGCAGAGTCTTTGGCCAACGCAACCCTCAAGCTCCAAGCCCTTGGCTACAATGTGCAGTTCTGGGCGTATCACCGCAGCCAACGAGATGCCTTTAGGGTCTTCAACCTTCCTCCATACCAGTTCGCCAGGTCGAAGCATTGGTTAGAGTTCAAGGAGTTCCACGCTCGTGAGAAGGAATCGAGTCATCCTGATGACCAAGATCATTCCAAATTGCTTCTGTTTGTCCACTTCAAAGATACGGAGAAACGAGTTGCCGAGTTCAAAGTCAACTCCATGTCCGATTATTTCCGGGCTTGTGTCAGCGGTCATGCAGTTCTCGGCCATGCCCTTTGCCCGGCATCATTGTATCTCGAGCTCGCTGCCCAGGCCGCACTATATCTATGCGAAGACAAACCCCCCGTACTGCCACAGGTGAAAGACCTTCAGATCAGTGCTCCTCTAGGGCTAAATTCATCCGCATCTATCAGACTGCTTCTTTCGCTGCAGGAACCCAGAAGATGGAGATTCTCGCTCTTGAGCACGACTGGCGCTGAGGATACCCACCACGCTTCCGGGGTGATTCAGGTCCCCGCCAATGCAGACTTTTTGGCATCCGAATCCAGCCTCTATGAGCGCTTGATTGGAGCCGATCGCTGCAACTCAATCCTGCAAGATGCATCCATCAAATCCATCAACGGCCTCGTGTACAATGTCTTTGGCGCGGTGGTGGACTATAAAGACTTTTACCAGGGCGTCCAACGTATCTCGGCGACCGCCTCGGAAGCATCTGGAGTTGTCTCTCTGCCAGTGACCGCGGCCGGAATCATGCCAGATTCGGTATACGATCCTCTCGCACTTGACAATTTCCTTCAGGTTTCTGGAATCCACATCAACTGCTTCCGGGATATTGGCAGACAAGACGTTTATGTCTGTACGGCAATTGGGAGGCTGAAAGTATACCAGTCCTTGGAGAAGGCGCGGGATCAATTGTGGCTGGTCTATTCCAATACCAAGCAGGGCGGATCGGAAGTCTTGGAAAGTGATATCTTCGCATTCAATGAGACTACCGGATCTCTCACGGTGGCTCTTTTTGGGGTCCGATTCGCCAAAGTGTCTGTGACCTCTCTGACCAGAGCGTTGTCCACCCTCAATCACGGAAAGCCCGTTCAACGATTGGATTCCACGCCGCCACCGGCGCCATTGAGCGACTCTCGAGGTACATCCCCAGACGCAGAACCTGACGGAAACATTCTGCTTCGACTACAGCAACTCCTCAGCAGAGTAACCGATTGTCCCGTGGAAGACATTCTCCAAACCAACTCTCTGGAAGCACTAGGAATCGACTCGTTGATGCGATCCGAAGTCACCGCCGAAATCCGACAAGAATTCAACCTCGACATAACAACCGACACGCTCGCCAAAGCCTCAACCCTACTCGATCTAACCACTTTGATATCATCGTCGCAAACCTGGCCCGTTCCAGTCATTCATACCCCCTCCTCGTCCGAAAGCCATACCACTCTCTCCACGCGTGACTCCACTGCCAATATAAAACATATTCTTTCCCTCATCACCGATATCCCTGTCGAGGAAATCGGCGACGAGAGCACTCTCGATGCCCTGGGGATTGATTCGCTGATGCGGAAAGAGGTCCAACCGGAGCTCCGAAAGCAGCTGGGCCGTGCGGATATTCCAGACAATCTGCAGGCATATTCTGTCACGTCACTGGCCACGTATCTTGCTGATCGGGATAGTGGTAAGAAGGACTTGGCGATTCGTACGCCAAGCGTTGCTTCTCTGGGACAGGAGTTCGATGCCAGAGAGGTGGGTTCTACGCTAGCGCCAGAGAGGATATTAAAGTTGGACGAGCGCCCAAGGATGGTGAGAGGAAATGATGGAGGATTCACATTGGATGAACTTGCTGCCTCGTTCGAAGAAATTCAGGGAAGCTTCGATCAATTCGCGGATGAATCGCAATTCCGCAACTTCTACGTTGAGGTGCATCCACGTCAAATGGAACTTGCCACGGCCTACGTCGTCGAGGCGTTCAAAAGTCTGGGCTATCCTCTTTCGTCGATGTCTCCAGGGGAGAGCTTGTCGCGATCGCCCGTTTCTCATCCGCCACGACATGAAAAAGTCATGAAGCAGCTGTACAAATTGCTACAAGACGCAGGGCTCATTGCCCTTAACCACCTTGGCGAGTACCAGAGAACAGCCAAGCCCGTTGCCTCCACTTCCTCCGCGGATCTTCTCGACGCCATCATACAAGACTTTCCGCAACACCGGTTGGAGCACCGTCTGCTGAGTATCACTGGCTCCAAGCTTGCGCCCTGTCTATCTGGCGAGCTCGATGCGCTCGATTTGATTTTCGGAGACCGGACCGCTAAAGACCTGGTGAGCGATGTATATCACAACGCGCCGGTGTTCGTAACTGGGACAAAGCTTCTCTGCAAATTCCTGTTATCCAGCCTGGGGAAAAGAACGCAGCCCGTCAAGATTCTCGAAATCGGAGCCGGCACGGGAGGCACCACGGCTGATGTGGTTCAGTGCCTCACCAGCAGCAATATTCCCTTCGAGTATTGCTTCACCGATATTTCCCCATCCTTGATCGCAGCCGCCAGCAAAAAGTTCAAATGGTGTCCGAGCATGGAGTTCCTGGTTCTGGATATTGAGCAGACACCTTCACTGGGGAATCAGTACGATCTGGTGATCTCCACGAATTGTATTCATACGACGAGGAATCTCACGACGACGACCAGAAACATCCACACACTGCTCAAAGAAGGCGGAATGCTCTGTCTGGTGGAACTCACCCGGAACTTGCCCTGGTTTGATCTGGTTTTTGGATTACTGGAAGGATGGTGGCTATTCAACGATGGTCGGGAACACGCACTGGCCCATGAGCGTTTCTGGGAAGAGAGTTTGAGGCAAGCAGGCTTCTCACATATTAATTGGACTACCGGCGACACGAAGGAGTCAGAGATGCTCCGCTTGATCCTCAGTGCGAAGATGGCTCCCAAAGATGACCTCTCGGACACTGGTAGCAAAACGTGCACGGAGGTTGGAACTGTCACTTCACGTCAAACATTGTCAGTATATGCACCTGAGCAACTCCAGGGAAGTGGGCTCCATGGGTCAGTCGTGCTTCTAACAGGCGGCACAGGCCATCTTGGTACCCACGTCCTCCACCAGCTCGTTAATCGAGCCGACGTCCGCCGGGTGATTTGCTTGAATCGATGGACAACAGCCAGTGATCCAATGCAACGGCAGCAACGTGCCCTCAGCGACAAAGGTATCGAGCTTAGCGAGCGACAGTGGGAAAAAATCGAAGTGCTCGAAGCCAAATCCAACCACACGGCCCTCGGATTGCAACCCGAACAATATCAGCGTCTGCGCGACCAAGTCACCCATATAGTCCACAACGCATGGCCCATGAGCTTCAAGCGACCGTTACACACATTCGAACCGCAATTCCAAACCCTCCACAACTTGTTGAGGCTCTGTCGCGATGCCAAGCACGGCGCGAGACTCGTGTTCATCTCCTCCATCGGTGTAATTGGTCGTCACCCCAATACCTTTGCGAATAAGCCCGTTCCGGAGGAACCCATGCGAGACGGTCAAAGTTCGCTCGGGTTTGGATACATTCAGGCCAAGTCTCACTGCGAGCAGATCATCCATCGGGCGCTGGAGCAGGATCCCAGCCTCCAAGCGTCGTACATCCGACTTGGACAGACCACGGGGTCCCGACACTTCGGTCTGTGGAATCCCGAAGAGCATGTCCCGGCTCTATTGAGGACATCTCAAACCATCGGCGCTCTGCCCCAGCTGGATGGAGTAGGTCTCCTCGTTGACATTGATATTTCTGTGAACTGACGATGACAGTCTACCGCCTGGCTTCCCCTCGATATTGCCGCTGCCACTGTCAGTGAGCTGCTGCTAGATACAGCCCCTCTGCGAATAGTGTATCATCTCGAAAACCCGGTCCGTCAGCCGTGGAGTGAGCTACTTAATCCTCTCTCGGCACATCTAGGGCTACCCATCATTCCGTATAAAGAATGGCTCCGTCAAATGGAGATCCATGAGACAGGGTCATCCAATCCTGCGAGGAACCTCAAAGAATTTTTTGAAATTGACTTCCTTCATATGTCCTGTGGGTCCGTGGTGATGAGCACGACCAGTACAACGTCGGTCTCTGCAGCACTACGATCAGCCACTCCCGTGAGTCCAGACACCCTGTTACTGTATATTGAGCAGTGGAGGAGGGTGGGCTTTCTCGGCGATATGTCAGCCTAATAATGGGGCCAAACGGATTAGTTCAAGCGCGTCATAATATACAGTAAGGTAGCATGTGTACGGAGTATAATGGTTGTATTAGTAGGTTGTGGGGACGCAGGATTATACGACCCGTAATGCATGGCGTATCAGGGTGACAGGACGATACCATAAGCAGGATCAACATAGCATGAAGTGGAGAAGTAGTCGTGCTGTGGCTATTTAAATCGAGTACCCGGCTTCCAAGCTCACACCTAACAATCCAACTTCGACAAAACTCCAAGTCTATATACCAACAAGCCAACTCCAACTCCAATCAATTGGATCAATCACGCAATGGCTTCTACACCTAACCTTAATACTTCCAGCTCGCAACCCATGTCGGATTCTGCATCTTCTGCATCTTCTGCATCTCCCGCCACCCCCGCTTCTTCATCAGTCCCCACCATCAATATCTCCCCCTATCTCCTCAACCCCCACCAGCGAAGCCGCCAACGACGTCTGCCAGGCCATCCGCGCAGCATGTCTACACACCGGCTTCTTCCAGATCATCGGCCACGGCGTGTCCCCATCCACCTGGAGTGCAGCCTTCGAGGCCTCGCGCCGTTTCTTCGCGCCCCCAACGGAGCAAAAACAGAAACTCGATATCACGAAACAGATCGGATTCCGGGGCTCTGATGGGATCGGCACACAGTCATACGGTGAAGATACCGTGCCTGATTTGAAAGAAGTACACCATCATCCATCCAATTAGCCAGTCAACTCACAGTGAACATCTATCAGAGCTTCTTCATCGGCCTCGACACAACTACGGCCGTCTCCTCACCGGCCCCAACATCTGGCCCTCTACTGAACTCCTCCCCGCACCCGTCTTCCAAAAAACCCCGTAGAATCCCTCTACTCCACCCTCCTCCACCTTCTGCCGTCCCGATGCGTTTCCGCCATTATCCTCCTATGGACATCACCACCACCGAACAAAACCTCCAACTAAATGAGATGGGCTAGAGAAAAAAAAAGAAAGACTGATACCACTAGACCTTAAGACATCAGACATCTCCATCAATGATCCGAGAGGATATAACCCGTATTGAGTGAAGATATCCTTAGTTTTGTCTAATCTAATTAATTTTCTTAGTGCGTACTAAAGTTAATTCGATGTTGTGTTCATCTTTCCATCTTTCCAGGTAAATAGAGTATGAGTCTATTTCTAATAAACTCCTTTCCCGCTCATCATGGCCTGTGGGGGCTGCTATAAGGCATGAGATGTTGGGCTTGAAGTGCGAGGTCTGAGAAGAAGTATCTTCCCTGGGTTGGGAGACTTGTACATGACATGTCCTGTGGATGTTGACTTCGGGCAGGATTTAATTATGGTTACGGTTACGGTGTGGCATTGGGTACTAACTGCTGCACTGTTGGCAAACTAGTATGGAAGATGGTAGCTTTAACTTCGTATGCTATATAAGGAACTTCAGGATAGGCAGGTTCAGTAGTAGTAGAAATCAGACACCGTGATATCTACTTTTATATCGATTACCTACTCTCACTTCACAGGTAAGAGCGGCGAGACGCCACGAGTAGTCTTAGTGAGCAATCATAGTAATGGTGTTGTATGTTTTTAAGATATAATGATTCTATTTTGTCATTCTTTTTTCAGGTTGCTTTAGATAAACAGTACACAAAGAAGACCGGGGTGCATTTGCTTGCGCTAAATTTCTCGACAATCACACTAGTCAATCCCCTTCTTAGTAAAAAACATGTAGCATGTCTATGTGCACGCGTGCGCTCTATGAATCGCTGTAACATGACAGATGTGCACATGGTAAAGAATCGGCAAGTTGATACCCTTACAGCATCCACGTGTCTGTCGACCCTGAATATGTCTTATGATAAGCATTCATATAATGCTAGATCCCCAGTCCCGAGTAAATGAAACGGCTGCTAGATATCAATAGAGGCAAGCCGTGTTCCGACGTGTCTGCGATGTGGATAGGTAGCAATGACCCAGGTGTATATGATGCATGGCAGTTCCTTGGACACCGAACCATCAATCGCTTTGCTTTTCTGAGCCACCCGGGGAGATATCGTCAGTCACGATCAGCGGCACCGTCACATTGGACGAGGATACCCCGGCAACGCCCTCGGTCAATCCGGGAACGTTTTGCGCCTCAGATGTTCCATTGAGCGACACATGGTCTTCCACGTGTGACACAGTAGGTTCGTCGTCGGATCCAGTATCGACCTCTGAGTTCTCCACGCTGCCAAGGGGACTACGGGAAACAGGGCCAGGGGATCCCATCGGAGAGGGTGATTCGTCATGACTGACACTGCTTCGCTCGGATGTTGAGAGCGAGCTCCGTGAGTTTGTATATGTCTGAGGCAGACCAAGAGCGGCCGCCACGGCAGCCTCCTCATCAGGCAGCTTTGACACGCTGCTATCCCGGCTGGAGCTCCGGTCAAAAATATCGCTTCCTCGCCGCTCACTCATCTCCAAGATGTGATTGTAGTTGCGTCTGGTGGGATCTGCGAGACGCTTCTTCTTCTTTTTCTCCCGCTTAGTGGATGGCCGGACCACAATAACAGGAATGGGCGATTGCTGTAAGCAGTATTTCGAGACGGAGCCGGGTAGCAATCCTTGCACACCACCGAGATTACGGCCTCTAGTGCCCACGATGAGAACGGCGGGTTCATAGATCCTGATCATGCGTTGGATGATGTCCTGGATTTTGCCAACAGCCAACTCCAGGACCAAGCTGATCGCCTTCTCATTCTGACTGTTCTTCTGAATCACTTGTTCGAACAGCTTCTCCGCTTCCTTTCGGTATTTCCCCGCTTCGACTGCGGCATCGCTTGCGATACTGGAATCCTTCTCCACCGCACGGAGACAGACGATTTCGTCGCCATCGTCCACCAACTCATCGATGAGCCACTCGAGCGCGAAATCAGAGTAATCATTCTGGTCTGTTCCGCAGAGAAATGTTCGACTGCGTCGCGTACTCTGGTATCCTTTGTGTTTGTAGTTGAGTGTTAAGGAGAAATCTGGCGCATCGGGATTATCAAACGTATCGAAGGAGACGCCCCGTTCGTAGGTCCTGAGTAATCACCGGGTTAGATTCACTTTGATGAGACCACAGTCTGTAGCACTCACTTAGGTGGAGGAGGTGATAGTCCTCGCCCAGCCGCCTTGGCCTCTTTCTCATACACGTGGGAGGGCGAACGCTTGCGGCCTGAGACGCTAGCAGACCGACTGGGGGGTTGCGACTCCGAACCGCCGATGTTGAACTGGATCGATTTCCGTCGAGAATCTCCACGTGAAGGTCGGGACGGGATGGACCCGGTTCTGGTACGCCCAGGGACGGGAGTATGGCCGTCCAGTGATGGTTTGGTGGATGGAGTTGACATGATGATTGCGCCCGATGGTCTTAAGTAGACTGATTGAGGTGGTATCGAGGGTATCGGTTGGCGCCGTTGAAGCTTGCGTATCGAAAGGTCTATCTGGAAAATGCAGATGGCAACCAGAAAATGAGGAAGTCAAATCAGAGAGAGCTCAGCCACCGTGAAGCTCCAGACGTTCTGCCAGTGGTACGATGCGCGAGACGCAGACCATGGTTTGGCGGTGCAGATGTCAAAAGGAGCTCCCCGGGCAGGGATGCTTGAAACGACGAGCTCGAACGGATGACAAGCGATGTAGACCCGGCTGAAGGACAAGGAAGACAGGCCGTCAGAGTGGAACGATGGAGTTGCAGGTACGGAAGCCGGAAGCAGAGGAACTTGGCAGGAGACTGGAGAATAGGAGGAGGCCGGGGCGGGGCAGCCCAGGGCGGTGAGGGCCGGTCACGTTGCGATAACCTCATGATTGCCGAATCAATCAGCCCCCAAGTCATTGGCACTCGAACCTCCCTACAACAGACGGACGGACGGGCAGACGGTGTGGTCACACGTGTGGAACACAACGACCCCTCTCGGAGCCAGTGATGGTGCTACACAGCAACTACCAAACATAGTGATAGTAGTAGTAGTAGTAGTTACGACGCTCCGATCCCGCCCACAGCACGGACGGCTCGTGGGCAGCTGAATGGTCAATGAGGGACTGGACTGTCGGTGCGAAAATTCTGCCCGACTAAATACTCACCAGTCAAAATAACGTGCCCCATCATGAGGGAAATAATTCTCCAATGGCCTGACCCACAAACGGCGAGTCTAATTCTCCTCAGGGTCTAACTTTTCGGAGAGGACGGCAGGGAGCAGCAACCCAATTACCAGGAAGGGAGTCCATCTTATGAGGGATGGCATTGCCATGGCATCCGTCACCCGAAGGTTCCGGCAGAGGAAGAGGGGGAAACGGGTGGTGGACTATAGACTATGAAGAATGAATAAACATAGACGTGAAGGCCAAGTCAGCGGTGCAGGATCGGCGGGATCCTCCGGTTGATCGATCGCCCATGTGATGCATCACGGGGCGGTGTGGTCGGGGCAAGAGGGCCGCGCTGCTGAAGGAGTGGGCGATCGGCACTGCCATCCGGTCTGGCCCAGCGGACTTTGTACGGCCCTGGGTCGGACTGTCGGACTCTGAGGGTATCCCAGTGAGCGGCCTAATCAACTAGTAGCCTGCCCGGGCCAAGAAGTGGGGACTGGCCCTCCAAACACTATCGATCGGCTATTGACGGCCATGTGGGCTGCAGTGAAATTGGCACTCTTTTCTACGGTGAAGATCGACTCGACAGGTCTCTATCAGATGCACTCGCTACTCTGTATCCGTATGTTCTAGCAATGTGTTCATTGTAAATCTCATATCTGGGGCCTCTTGAGGCCCCTCACACTAGAAGAAAAAAAATTCGGCCGTCTATCAAAGCGGCCTAACTGTGGGACCAACCCATCCAAGAGAGTAGAGAATCAATGCCCAAGCGCTCGGGCATGCAAAGGGGGGCAACCCCTGATGCAAAGTAGATGCAAAACAGTAATTAAATCACAATGGCCAACCAAAATTCCTTTTTCTTTGTCACAAAACGCCGGACCCGCTATGATAGTGGCGACTCGCCCAAAACAAAAGCAACCTTTCCAGAACAATTCATCAGGGGGTATCACGTATGGTACATTGACGTGGTCGTCAATCCGCAAGGCACGATCAGTAGGCCTCGATAATCGTGCTTCGTGCCTGACCAGGGACGTAATACCCACTCTCGAGCTCCGTCGGGGACAGCGGGATCTCAGTGGCTTGTGGTTCCTTCTCATCGAAGGTCTCGAGGGTCGGTTGGGGAGGCGACGGCGGCATGGTGTCGTCCTCGGATTCCCCATCGGAGTCTGACAGCAACTCGGGTGGGGTCTGTCGTGAGGGCGAACGGGTCAAAGTCAATTCCTCCAGGTCCTCCGCGTCATCGTACTCGAAGTCTGAATCCGAGTCGGAGTCGTAGTCTTCCTCCACTTCCTTTTCGGTGATGATGGCCACGGGCGATGGTGCCCGCCGGCGCACTGGTGTGTATAGGTTGGATTGATATTCGTATTCATCTTCATCATAGTCGGAGTCATCATCGCTGACATCAGAGTCGGCGTCGGAGACGTCCTCGGGGTCCCAGTCCTCCTCGGGGTCCTCAACCACGGTTTCTGCCCATTGGATGTGTCGGGGTTCTGAACTTTGCGAGGTCTTGGTCACGCCGCTCACGGTTTGGTTGAACCAGCGTTCCTGTTCCCTTTCGGCATCGGCCAGCTCCAGCATGAGAGAATCGAGGAGGTTGGCGTGGCCGACGAGGAGGCGGAGGTCATGGTCCGCCCGCGAGGCTTCCCGGGTGAGCTTCTTACGGGCGGTGTGGGCGAGATAGTAAGTTTGAGTGATGCTCATTTTCTTTTGTTGCCGCCTCCGGACGAGAGAGGAGAAGTAGGAGCTGGGAGTAATGTTGGGGTTGGAGGAGGAGGAGAGGGGGGAAGAAGTAGAAGTAGTGGTAGTAGGAGTGGAGGAGGTTGTGGGGGAAGAAGAGAGATAGGCCATGGTGCCAAAAGTTCGGGAGGGCCGTGTTGATGTGCTTATGAGCTCAATGCAGAATGCCGAAAGATGACTCGTTCGCTTTACGCGGTGACTCAGGCAGCCTTCCCTTTCCGGCGGTCGCGCTGGTGTCCCAATCACGGGCGGGTCGATCGCGGGGCGGTGAGTCAAGGTTGACTGCAGGCGGATCAATAATCACGGCGCCTTATCTTGGGGCGCGAAACAACGACGCTTAGTCGTTTTCGTAAGTATGTAGTAGGCAGGCGCAAAAAATGGATGGACGCGAGCAGTCGTGCAGTTCCCGGCTTCCTAGGCAGGGTAGGCAGCAGTAGTGGCGGGGAAAACGGATGTGCTGGACGTCTGTAGGTCGGTGGTTGAGTAGTGGCTGTCTGTGTGTCTGTATGTAGGTGTGTATGTATGTATGAATATCGGTCTGAGGTGGTCGCCAGCAGCGATGAGTGGTGGACAGATGGATGGTTGAGCCTGGGATGGGAAGAAAATTTGATCAACCGGGAGACAGGGACCAATTTAATATGATATATCCACTTTCCAGGCTGATTTTTTGTCCTTGCTTATTTTTTCCTCGTCGGTGTTTTCCTCAGCTATCTCCATTATTAACCTCGTCTTTTTTTACCTTTTTTTTTTCTCTCGCCTCGGAATTTAGATGGAGTACTATGGAATCGGACCTTCGGAGGCAGAGACCATCGACGCTCATCCGTGGATCGGCTGGAGGGTGCCGGATCCACCAGACCGATTCTCTTGGCCCAGAAAGGCAACTGCAGGTTCACCGCCCCTCTGCTGGCCCAATCAAGCTGGCTCAAAATGAGTCACGGCCAGACTCCGCCCGCTAACCCCGAGTGGACGATCCGCACCTCAGCCCAGCCCAAGCAAACCCTGGACGGGGCGTCGGATGACCAATCTTTCCGCGCCGTTATTTCCGGCTGACGGGAGCTTCACGCCTAGAAAATTCCAGCAGGTGCCCAGTCATTGTCTGCATAATGCCAGAATAATCGATTAGTAACGAAACCCTCCTGGTCAGGAAGGTTGCTACTTCCACGGGACCGGAAAGGCCAGCTGGTTCTTAATGAGCCGCTTAGGTCAATGCCAGGCTCGTTATACGACTGTCCGCTTTGAAATCAGATCTGATTCATAAGCGTGCTGCACTGGTGCAGGCTGGTCCCTAACATGGCCAGCCTCACTACTGGAATGGGTCGACTGGGCGACACCAGTCACATCCCCACCCTACCTTAGGTGGATGTATATCGTAACCGCGTATTTCCTTTGCGCAGCATAATCGACAGGCACTCATCATGACCAGGGATGATAAGAGTGCGTGTCACTAGCTGGGGATTGACCTGCGCACGGAAGTAGTAAAGCCGGTGGTCGTAAAACTAGCCAAGGCCGATTCGGAGTACCTTGGGAGAGATAGCCACGCGAATACGACGGCGCGGAGTTAGGACCAGAAACTCTCCTTCGATACCTCCGATCCCGCTGGATAGATGATAGATGTCGCTTCTAACTGCATAATCTCGCTTTCTGGGTCTTGCAACATCGCAAGCCCACGTAAGCCAGGGCTAGGCGACGAAGTTCCACAGGCTGCCACATTTCACGCCTCTAATTGCTCAGTGCCTGCCGCCTAGACGGTCGGGGCTACTAAGAAATCCGGGGAGCCTGGCATCGCACCGCAATAGGCGCGTACGTACTTCTGGCTGTGCGGAGAGCCGCACGTCCAGCCAGGCTTGGCATCCCTCGACAGGCCAAACCGCAAAATTGGGTAGCCATGTTGGCTTGATCAGTGAGGGTTGACCGCTAGCGACAAACGTGTCCTCCTCTTGGCAATGCCCTGCCTCCACGGTTGGATGATCCCCCTGGCTGAGTACATGGCTGAGTACTAGTAGTTGGGGGGAAGTATGGGGGCGGAATCGTACGTAATCTTGTCGAGGGGCTGGATTATCAGGATGATAATCAACGTGCTGCTTTGGTTTGCTATCAGATAGATAGCTATCTGAAACCTTACAGCGACACAGCCTCGATGGGACTGTGGGGGGCAGCGGCTACCACTAGTCAGCGACTATTGTGGCTAGTGGGTGTCGGTCATGTGACTGTATTCCGATGGGGCAGCTTTGAGGGGTAAGAGCTGCCAACTATGGAGTACAGATTCAAGATGGAGCCCATAGCCGATCCTAATATCTACATTCTACGGAGTACTCCGTACAGTTTCAGACGACCACGATGAAAACACCCAGCGTGTCCAAGAATGTAGCCCACCACGTCTGAAGCCAGCCGGTGGGACCCGGCCAGGGAATGTCCTGACCTGGCATTCAGCTTCCCAAACCAGAAATACGAGGTACGAGATCGAGTGCCTGATTCAGCATGCATTTCGAGGCCCGCTTATGATGATCAACCGGCCAGACCACCAAATCCGCTACCAAGGGGTCAATGAACATTAAACACATCGCTGCCATATCTTCACCACCCACGTCCCCGGACCCGGGAGGCGGCCCCCGCGAGCAGGCCCTCTCATCAGGCTGCAACCATCAATGCTTATCCCTACCAACAGAGAACTTACTTTCACCAGCGGCGAGTGTTGAGTACCAATAACCATTGAACACATCACTGTCCTTGTGCATACCGTGGCCACCCCTCATTATCATGATACAGCCTACGGAGTAACCCATACATATCTCTGCTGCTCTCTCTCCAGGCTGACACTGTAGATCGATCCTCACAGCGGGGAGGAGGATCGAGGTCTGGATTCACTGGTTGACGTCACGAGTCGACCTAACACGACAAGATCCCTGCAGACAACAACAACAGCAACAACAGTCATTGACCTCATACACTGACCTCACCATATCCATAGTACTCCGTGTCAACAACAACAAAAACAACAATCTCGTGTTAATCCCTATACCCATTCTCTTCTAGAACATCCTGCTACTAATAATAAAAACAATAATCACAAGACAATCCCCAAGCTCATCTCCATGGAACCAACCACACTGGAATTCAAGCAAAGTCGGACGTACCCGTCCCTTTCCTTTGCCTCCCCCTCCCCTCCGAGAATCCCAAGTCTCAACTCACGGGGCCAAGAGTGAGTGAGTAAGAGAGTGCACGGCTCAATCGGCGTTTCGCATTCCCAACCTCCGACGCGACCGCGACCGGGAACCGGACATTGACCCTACCCGATGTACCGTGGACCGAACCTAACCCTCTCCCATGTGATAGGGTAATCCGTCTATTCGGAAGAGCGGCATCATCCTTTCCTTTCCTTCCTCTACCTTTGAGGTTGATTACTGATTATGGTTAATTTTTTCTGCCGGTTTTTCGAGTTTCTGAATGATTAGTGATTAGTGATTAATCGGTAGATCTGGATCGAGTAGCCGGGCCGAGGGTGGGTCCGTGCTTCTGACTGTGACTGAGGTGATTGTGACTGTGACTGTGACTGATGGTTTTGTCAGGGATTGAGTCATCGGACTCGGGGTCGGTGTTTGCTTGGGTTGTCTTGAGTGTGTTTCGGGGTTGGAGACGGGGTTTGCTGTGCTTTAGGTTGGTTTGGTTTGGTTTGAATTGAGGTGGCACGGCTTCTCTTTCGTGCACGTGTTTCGTAGCTGTTGCGTAGCTTTCGCTATGTATGAAGTAGCTGTAGCTGTAGCTCTAGCTGTGCTTCTGCTTTGAAGGGAAGTGAGTGATGAATATGATTGGTCAGTGGGGTGTGTGCAATCGTGCATACTACACAGTGCTGTGGGGTTAGAAGGATCCTGAGGTATTCTTCAGATGGTGATGATAGTGGGGTATACCACCTACAACTACTACATACTACATACTACTAATCTCTAATAATCTACAACCGACATAGCACTTTCGCTAGTACTTTCCACTATGTGGAGAACCCAAACTTACTGACTACAGACTAAATATCGGCTGCTACCGTGACATTTGTACACTCTAAACCGCCCTCAAATACGGATACAACTACAACTACAACATCGCACCCTACAGAGGAGGAAACTCCACCCTCCCAGCGCCTTAGTAATACCAACTTGGAAGTAAATCGGGAGTTGTACAACACCCCGAATAAGCTGTCCGTCTATAGTGGATTTCAAAGCGAGCTGAGTGCACGGTCCAGACGCACCCATCAGATGACGAGCCAGTTGGATGTTGTACAGAATCTGCAGCTCAGAGATGTAATAGATGTAGTTGGTCCGGAATGTAAATAATATCTGGGGTTTCCCTGTATTCTGCAAGTAAAGGCTAGTGGCTACCATGCCCCACCAGACGCAGTCAGATTTATAAGACATGCTGGTAGTAGTTACTGCTTTCACACATAGCAAGCATATCGTATGATATCCGTAGGTATCAATACATAGTAGAATCGAATTGAATCGAATTTTCGTCATATCACAAGCAACTCCACAGACTTAAGCAACTCATCAATCATGGGTAAAGAAACTTCCCAGATCTGAACTTTTCTTCCGAATCCACCGTTTCCACCACCACTCCGGTCTCCGACCCTCCTCGTCCGGCTCGACCAAATCACACGGCAAGAGAATCGCGTGGTCCAGTGCGTGCGGCAGTCCACGATGACGACCGCGCACCTGCATCGCAATGACAATCACCTTGGATAGGCTGCTAAACTCACGACATAGACTCGTTTCCGTCCCGGGATAACCCATGGACAGGCCTACGGTGCCGTAAGCGGACACGATCTCGAACAGGATGGGAAAGAGCGAGAAGGCCATATCGGTGCGGTTCTCTTGTAGTCGTTTGCCTTCGGCGACGGCGACGAAGAAGAAGCCCAGCATGACGAACCATAGATCGAATCCGAGCTGACGCTGGATGTGGGCACCTAGCGAGTCGGATTGGTGCGGTTTGTCATGGTCGTCGTATTCTTCGTTGTAGATTCCGAGGCTGCGTTCTTCGTACACGTTGGTTTTGCGCATCGCGATCGCGATCGGGAAGGCGGAGATGTACATCATTCCTACGAAGGAGACTTGCACGGCTGGGTGGAGGCTGCCGAGGGAGGCGATTGTGAAGCCGGCGGTGCGGGTGGAGGCGATTTGGAAGAGGCCATTGACGAGACGGAGGCTGGCTGAGATGGGGGTGGGGTGGGGGATCTAAAAGTAGGATGAGAGTTAGTGAGGATGTGGAGGTGGTAGGGCTGTGGGGGCTCACTTCTTGGAGGGTGTAGAAGATGATTAGATCGATGGCGTTGATGAGCAGGAGCACTGCGGCTAGTCGCCAGGTCTCTGTGCTGGGAAATAGCAGCGTGAAGCATCGTCGGGGATGATCGAGGAGATACTGAAGCTCGTCGTCCAGCGGACTTCCGTAGGTAGTGAACTGGGACAAGGTCCATATGATGAGACGGAGCATGCATGGAAACCCGGTGTTGCCGAGAACGATGAGAACAGTCATCACGAGCAGAGGGAATGCCGCAGTATTGAACGATGCCATCGAGTTCGGAGTCAGTGTAAATCCTAGGTCGTTGAATGAGGAGCCAGCAGTGAAAATAGCCCACCAGGACCGGCTGATGCCATTGTCTGCGAGCATCTGGCCGTAGTGTTGGTTGGGGAGAATCCATGACACGAAGAACAGGATTCCCAAGAGATGGATGACCACGAAATAGCAGACCAGGATGACAACCAGCGTCTTCAGGGCTCTATACTCGATTCCACCAAGCTCCTCTTTTTGTGTCTCGTTCCAGTCGGCGTAGCTGGCAATGGAGGATTGCCACATCAAAGAAGGCAGCGGTGGCATGTCATTCTGCACGTCGGAGAATGATCGCCGCAGTGGACTTTCAATCTCCGACTGAGAAAGACGCGACCATGTGCCAGAGTATGACCGTCGACGCTGTTTCACCTCGTGCTCGGCTTCCGTCTCGCAGAAGGTAATATGAGGGCTGGTCGAGCCGGTTGCACCATACTTCCTGCCACCAGGGGACACATTGGTTGATTCGCTTGAACTCTCCTCATCTACCGTGGAGAGCAAAGGAAGCTCCTCCGATGGCCTCTCGCGTGAGAATCCCCGAGGTCCGTTTTCCACATCTGCGAGTCTCTGGTTGAGCGTGTTGCGCTGAGCACGACACATCATTTTGGCCTCGTGGATGGCTCTCTGGAACCGCTTCCGGAACCAATACAATCGAATCACAACAAGCAGCGAATGGACAAAGATGACGTTGGTGACCATCGACACCACCAAGAGGGTGGCTTGTTGAACCACATGGAGGCGATTGAGATCAATGGTATTGAGCCCAGTTTGAGTAGCTGCGCCGGAGGCGAGAAGCAAGGCATCGACAAAAGACAGCCCTCCGGCGCAGTAAAGGATGATGGATGACAGGAGGGCCCAGGCGATGATGTAGATGTAGTGGTGGCATCGGCGCAGGGGTGACTTGGGATTGTCAACCGGGGACTCGCGAGGGGGCATACGTGAGACGCCTCAGCTGGTCGGAAGCTCTGGTGGTAATACAGACAGGAAGCAAGAATGGTGCGATTGTGGAGAGTTTCGGCTGTGGATGGAATAAATAATGAGGGATTGACTCCTTGCGTGAGCGGGTGGCTATTGGAAGCCGACAAATGCCTCAGTGAGCTGCATCGCGTGTGCCGAATTCGCTTAACCGATCATCAACTGGGTGAGATTGAGAACTCCTGCCGTTAGTCTTGTCACTGGTCGTGAAACATAAGAGAGATGGGAAGTTGACCCACTTGCTATTGCCAATTTATCGGAAAGAAACATGCTTTAAAGAGTTGCACAGCAGCACAGGCGGGTAGAGGCAAAGTCCCAATAAGTGGGCGACAATAATCGCTCATACTGACCTCCCTTCGCTTGACACTCTCCCCGCCAGCCACTGACGCACGGTCCATACTTTGATCAACTCTAATGCTCTGCAGGCTGTGATATTCAAGGGTCTTACCTCATCAGAATTCCCCGGGGATCTTCGCCCCTTGGTTCATAGGGCTTGTTTTAACCCCCCCAATAACCTGGGACAGGGGCCGTGTGAGTGCACCACTGCAAGAATTCAGTCGCCGTATAAAAGCATCTTGTCAAGCTGCATGATCTGACGTTCTCACATGGCTAGTTTCCGACCATGTTTCGTGCTCAGACCTCTACAGAATTGCAGTGCTGCTACCGGTGCATTCTTGACAAGGCCACCGGCCCACCACAACCCCGGGCAAAGGATAAAGAGAATAGCATGGAGGAACAGATGAAGATTCAGATGTGATCCGCGACGCAAATTCTAGCCCAGACACAGGTGGAAGATGAACAAACGAGAGAGGACAGAAAGCAGAGGGGAGAGCAGGGAGGCAGTCATCTCACGCGAGCACAAGTAGGTCTGGGACAGTTCTGCATTATATTGGGATGCGATCGAGCGCAATTTTGCCCAGTCACATGGCCCTATTTCTTTGTTCTACCTTTCCGACCTCGCCCGAAGCTCCCTGTTCTCAATGGTGTTTCTCAACCTGCACGAGTCATGAGCGCCCAAGAGGCTTCGTTGTACAACCGGGCTTTTGAACCGTCAACTTGGAATCAGACCCAGGGTGTTTACCGAGAGAACCCCAACACTTGGAAAAGCGATTGACTGGGTTGCTGCTAAGTTCCGAGAATGCCCCTGAAACCTCACCGTGACACGCGTCCGCATTTGACACCCGAGAATCAATAGCTCCGACCTAAACCCTGAGGACATGCCCATAGAATGACCTGCCTGCGAGATGAAGAAGAAAAAAAGGTTCCTTATAGCCATTCTTGCTTGGGAGAGGGTTGCAGCGTTTCCGCAGCACCTTGCTCAACCTGCACGAATAAATTCGCCGACGGCCCTTGCTGCTCCCGCATCTTGCGACACAGAACTCTGACCCCTCGCCATGCACTTTACCATCATCCCTCGTTGGTAGTAGTCGACCCCTCTCTTTGTCTTGGCATCAACCTTTTCTCTAGCCATCTCACGATAGGACCGGAACTACCAGTACTGTTGGGCGGACATATCTCCCTAAGCCAAAACAACACGAAGATGCAGGGAGACCCATGTCGCGTGGTTGACGCATGGACGAATGCACGCTGTCCTCTGCTTGGCGGCATCTTGGCCCGCCAAGTTCCAAGACCTTTCGCGGGGAATAACGGGCGAAAATCTGGGGTATGTGCATTGATCTCATCGGAAACTTCTGGAGCCCGCTTGGTGGCACGATAGAGACGGTGAGGGAAGATATAAGAGAGGACGGAAGACGCTGAGGATTCACCTCTGCCTTGCCCTACCTTCACTGCCTGCACTGGCAGCCAGATCATCCGACCCGTCTCATTGCGGTCCTTGTGCAGCCTCGCCGTCTTGTATCTCCCATTACCTAGATCATCATCTTGTCCTTCGTTAGGCCACTCACGTGTGTCACGACAAAAGACATTGGAGGATATATCCCATCCCCCAGCACCTAGCTTCACGTCAACAATGAGTACTTTGCATGAGCCAGCAGAACCAATTGCTGACGGCATCATTGCTACTGCAAAACAGGCATGGGGCGATCTGTTCAAGTGGAAGCAGCGCGTCCTCGTGACCAACGAATACGGTGAGTCTCGTGCTGAGTGGCAGGCCCCAGACCGTCTTCAGAATCCCATTAGCTTGTTTCTTCAGCTCAGCGCACGAGACTGGCTGTTTTTCATCGTGGGTTTCGTTGCATGGACTGCGGATGCCTTTGACTTTCATGCGCTGTCCATTCAGACCGTCAAGTTATCCAAATACTATGACCGCTCCAAAACAGATGTCACAACAGCCATCACGCTCACTCTGCTGCTCAGGAGTGTTGGAGCGGCATTTTTCGGTCTAGCTGGTGACAAGTTTGGTCGCAAGTGGCCAATGGTCATCAACATGATAGTCCTCGGAGCGCTGCAGATCGCCACCATCTACAGCCAGACCTTTCAGCAGTTCCTGGCGGTGCGAAGTCTCTTTGGTCTCTTTATGGGTGGTGTATATGGGAACGCGATCGCCATGGCGTTAGAACATTGCCCGTAAGGATACCATGCACCCTCTATCACTCACACTAACAAACGACAGTGTCAATGCTCGTGGTCTCATGTCCGGCATTCTCCAGCAAGGGTACTCTCTCGGATATGTGTTAGCAGCATGCGCCAACCTCGGAGTGGGTGGCTCAACCGACAGCTGGAAAACCGTCTTCTGGATCGCAGGTCAGTCACAAACGCACGTATTTCAAATAAATACCCACCTCTGATCCCTGCAGCCGGCATCTCAATCGGCGTTGGGATCATCCGCATCTTCTTCCCCGAATCCAAACAGTTCATCGAAGCCAAAAGAGCCGGCAAAGTGTCCGCCGACCCGGGAGTCTTCTGGCGTGAAACCAAGCAAATGCTCGCCCAGGAGTGGAAGATGTGCATCTACTGCGTGATCCTTATGACCTGGGTACTCCAACCTCCTCTCCACCCAATCCCAACATCCACACACTAACACCAGGATCAAATCCAGTTCAACTACTACTCACACACCTCCCAAGACAGCTACACCACCTTCATGCTCACCCAAAAAGACCTGAACAACGCCGCCGCCTCTCGCGCCTCCATCCTCATGAAAACCGGCGCCTGCGTCGGCGGCACCATAATCGGCTACCTGTCACAATTCTTCGGCCGGCGTCGCGCGATCATCGTCTCCGCCCTCATCTCAGCAATCCTCATCCCCGCCTGGATTCTCCCAGAGGGCGAGCGGTCCCTCAGTGCAACGGGCTTCTTTATACAATTCTTCGTCCAGGGCGCGTGGGGCGTGATTCCCATTCACTTGAACGAGTTGTCGGCTCCGGCGTTTCGATCCTCGTTTCCAGGTGCGATTCCCACCCTCAGAGCAAACCCCTCAGCGTCCTTCTGTTAATATTATCATCCAAGTTCACCGACAATATGAAAATCAATCTAACCACAATAAAATAGGAATCACCTACCAAGTAGGAAACATGATCTCCTCGCCCTCGGCACAGATCGTTAACGCGATCGCCGAGAAGACATTTGTCAAGTCTCCCTCTGGGAAACAGGCCCCGGCGTACGGGCCTGTGATGGGTGTAGCGACGGCCATTATCGTGATGGGAATCATTGTGACGACTGCTTTTGGGCCGGAGAAGAGGGGAAGAAGGTTTGAGAGTGTTGTTGCGGGGGTGAGTGAGGGGACGGTGGCGAAGAAGGAGATGGAGCTGGAGGAGGGGAGGAAGGGAGAGGTGGGTTTGGAGAAGGTATAAGGTATGAGTGATGATGAGAACGATGTGAGAGTTGGATGGATGATGAAATCATTAACGTTTGGGGAAAGGGGCGGAGCCTTGTTTTGCATCATTGTAATATGGGGCGATGATTGGATAGACATACTTGTCACTTGCACCCTGACCGCACTGTACCCTTAGCTGGGTTATTACTAGGGCAGTGGTTGCATGATTACTGTTCATGGGTCCACTCTACGAATGAACTGCATCGGACTGTACAGTCAAGGCTTTTTGATTATAATACATGACTGTAGCAAGACAAGGCAAGAAGAATATTAACAATTAGTTGAGTGTCGAAGCGAGCAACAGCGCTTCACTCCTTGCATACCATGAGACGCGCTTACTCGCTGCAAGAAGCACCGGAGGGAACGTTCTCGCACTTGCTGCTGGTCTCACCGCCGGTGATGTCAATGTCGGACATGGTCCAGTCAGAGCAGCTGCCGTCACCGCAGAGGATGTAGATCTCAACAGCGTCGGAGTCAACAGAGCCAGTGATCTCCTTGAGGGTGACGTCGGAGATGGTGACACCGTTGGAGGGAGTACCGGTGGGGTCACCATTCTCGTAGTCCTGCTCGATGACGATACCGTAGTCGGAGATGCCGGAGATCTCGATGTTCTCGAAGGTGATGTCCTCAACGGTACCGGTGGCGTCGTAGACGGTCTTGATGCGGACACCGTTCTCGGAGTCAGAGACGGTGGAGTCGATGAAGGTCACGTTCTTGACGGTGTTGTCGTCACGGCCACCGACGGAGCCGATGGACAGACCGTGACCGCCGGAGCAGGTACCGCCGGAGAAGTAGATGTTCTAGGTCATGAATCAGAGATTGTTGTATGAAAAAGGGTTCAGGGCATGAGGGGCTGGTACTCACCTCACCCGAGTTGATGGCGACACAGTCGTCCTGGTTCTTCACGGTGGCACCGGTGATGGTGATGTAGGTACTCTCACTGATGTCGAAACCATCAGTGTTGTGACCACCCTCGGAGTCACCATCGCTGTTGTCGATGGTAACGTCCTCAATGATGAGGTTGTCGGACTCGACGGAGATGGCCTGGACGGGGGTGTTCTTGATCTGGAGACCGGAGATCTTGGAGTTATCGAGGCTGTGGGCGTAGAAGAACTTGGGCTTGGTCTTGCCGCCGTTGGTACCCTCACCATCCCACCACTTGGCACCGTTGCCGTCGAGAACGGCGCCGGATTCCTGGGTGACAGTGATGTCGTTGCCGGAGATGTACAGGAGGGGTCCGGACCACTCCTCATACTCCCAGGTGGTGGTGCCCTCAAAGGTGACCTGCAACAATGATTAGTGTGGTTGAATGCTGGAGGCGAGCAGGGTTCTTACGGTGGTGCCGTCCTCGAGGTCCTTCAGGTTCAGGGTCTCACCAGCAGGGACGGTGATGTCCTTCAGAACGATGCTAGAGCAAGACTTCTTGCTCTCCGAGGCGGTGGCGGCATCGGTGAAGGTGCAGCTGGAGCGCTTGACGAACTCAGAGGCGCGGGAAGGCGCAGGGGCAGCAGACACCAGGGCGGCACCGGCCAGGGTCGCGAGGCAGATCAAAGGCTGAACGGAAGGCATGTTGCACGAGTTGGTCGGTTATCTGATCAACAGAATAAAGAAGGACTGACAGTTCTGATCTACAGAACGGACTGGAGGTTGCGAGTAAAAAAAGAGAATGAATGAATAGTTGGCTTTGGCAAAGAACAAAAGAAGTTGTACAACAGGCGATGACAAGTCCTTTATATACCCCGACAGTCAGCCCCTTGATCTCTTGAAGGTACCCATGGTCAATTGGTCCCGTTAGACCAGCCGGGTAAAGAAAAGAAGCTTCCACGACTGAAAGGATTGGCCTGATGCTGCCTGCATGGGTTGAGGACGGGCTCCATCAATCTCTAACAGCCTACCGGGACTAGCGGCGCTAAATTAAATGGGTTGACGCGGCATTTCTTAATTGAACTTGGCTACCTTGGCTTCTAGCGTGGGCCCGAGCCTATTGCGGGACGCATCGCTAACATTCCGTGACCGATAATCTGATGGCAATTCAGCCACTCGTCTCAGGACGCATCAGCCGTCAGGACCCCTGTTCGGCAACTGATATTCACACAATTGCTGATCCTCAACCTTCTTCTCGGGAGATCCCATCGCAGTCCCTGACATGAGACCGGGCGCAATTCGGTGCAGGTACGAACCAGGGGCGGGGATCCGATTGCCCGATAACGCGAGGTCCACTCGCCCAAAGTAGTCAGAAAAGCCGATCCCGAATGATCGGGATCTTCATGAACGTACGGAGGAGTCCCGGAGGACTGAAACACCACCAATCCCAGGGCCCTCCTGTCTGGCGTTAAGGGTGCGAACTAGGAGACCAATCCAAGGACTCGCAGGTGAAAAGACCGGAGCAATGCGTAGAAATGAACTCGTTGTCCACAGAATGACATTGATTGCTGATCAGTTCCCGTTACGTGGGTGCGTAGCATCCATTCCCCACTCGGCCTCGCCAGTCGGCATCATCAGGAGCGTTCAGATAACCATCTCGGCAAATCCAATGCCTGAATGAGTGCATGTTCTCGGTTGCAGGTGGTCCGGTGTTACAGAGTCTGCCACAGAAAGCGAGAGAAGCCACCCACAAGGAACGGCGTGATGGAGCAAATGACCCCAGGAGGAGTACCTTGTATTTCCTTCAACGGAGCCCCCGGAAGCTTGGTTGTGTTCTGGATTGCCGTGTCACCTCAACTCCGTGTTTGCACAAATTAGCGTCACTTGTGGCCCCTTTCATATACAGAGGCCCTGGTTGAGAGAAGCAATGGATTTCTAGACTCACTGTCCAACCTCGTAACGAGCACCTCTTTTACCAAGGCAAAAAGTTGCTATAGCACTTCCAGATGGCGATAGCTAACCTGCCTATAGCTGCACCCAAGAGCATCTGTTCCAAGCACCACAGTTATTCCATGTTGGTCGGAATCAGTTGCTTCCGAGCTCAACCTGCAGTAATTGTCTGAACAGTACGGAATACTGTTCCCCGGCCGCCCCACGTACCGTAGAAGTGGTTCGGTCAAAGGCTTCGCATGAACTTCGGGATTCTCGATATTACCCATGGTCTAGTCCGTAGGCTCACCCAGTATGGCGCAATCGGGTATGAAGGTATCGATTGGACTCCGAGCTAGTACTTGTTCGAGACCACGGCCACATTATAAATGGGGTGGATCCCGGTGAGTTCTCCTCATGGTTATAAAAGAGTATCTCACAGCGGCACATGACTTTGGTCCGATTATTCCTCGCACGCGATGGTTCGGGGTGAGATAGAGAGCCGAGAGGTAATTGTTCCGTGATATTAGGGTAGCGAAGAGTCCCTGTGAGAAGTGGATCAGTGAAGATCAGCGAGGATCAGAGAGTGGGACAATCTCTCGTGGCATATCACGATTCCTATAGGCTCTTTTTGCGCTTATGGGGCTTATCTGCACAGGTTTTGCTCGCGGTGCTTTGAGGCATAGCACTTCTGTGTATTGTACTTATGGACTTTGATAGGGGTGGATGATGGGCATCGCAAAGTGGCCCTCCTTTCGGCTAGACTTGGTACAGATTTGAAGGTCTGTTGATTCCTGATTGTGTCTGTCGGAGGGAAAGACAAAAACATCATCGCGCAGAGTTGCGGAGAAGAATCCGGTCATGTGATAGGGATCAGTCCATCTCCTTCAACATGGCCTCCTCCAACTGCTTCGTTGCTATCTAAAGCCCACTGATTTGCGCACCCATGTCTCTTTCAGCAGATTATTAACCCTTGCCAGGCAGTGATACGGTACGATAAATTTACCCCGACCTTCTACCCCAGCTACCAAGAAGCTTAGGAAAGTCGAAGACTCTTATCCTCTGTGAGTCTACCTTGTAGGATATCTATCTAAGACTTTGATCCTTCTCGACCTCTTCCTTCACTTCCTTCTCTTCTCTCCCTCTATATCCACTATCCACAGGTCAGCCGTATCTCGTCAGTTTCATCTGTTTTTCCAGCTTTCGCCCATTATATCATCTTTAGTTTTGGGGACTCAAGCGGCAACGAAACGTATTTTAGGCCTCATGGAGTCCTAATTTTAGGATAAGGTAAGTTATATCTCTTGAGTCTGACCTTTTTCAGATATCGCACTACCCCAGTATGTCCGATGGGTTGAAAGCTAAGTGTACATCAGTCTGTGCCAAATATCTAGGCTCATTGTCCACGACATATACCCCCAAAGACTATGACAAATCCTTTTCCAATGGCGCAGTCGCTCATACATTGTCGAAATTCGTATCTTTCGAGATGGTGTCCGATAATGAGGGTGTAAAATGGGGTTTCCCTTGGGACAGTGGGCAGACGAAGCAGCTCAAGCCCATTTTTTTAGGCCGTAAGGAGCCATTCACCTACAGACCTCAATATGTGTATGGGAAGCATCACAGGATTCACCATTAAAGCGAACTACTTTACAAGGTCCGCCAGATTTGCTCGATAATGTTGTCTCGACGATTGCGAGCCAATTGGGGTATTGTTCAACTACCATCTGATGCTTCACCTATTTCCTATCATGAGAGTCCTTCCATCCGCGTCTTGAGCGATACGTCAATGAGATAGTCCATGATTTGTCCCATACGGTACTCGTCAACGGTAGAGATATTCCAGACACGAAGCCGCACGAGCAGCTCAAAAGACGGACGGTTACTCAAACAAACACCGGGACCAGGCTACTGTTGATCCTAGCCAGAAACAATGGGCGTGATCAAAATCCGACTGCAAACATCGAAACACAGGACTACTCTCAACGAGGCCACAGTTCCTTGGATAATATTGCTCGGACGTAAGACTATAGCGTCAGAAGCACAACGGGGACCTGGTCGATACACTCTTTACCATCACGATAATTGTAAAGACGCATCATGCCAGTAGCATTGCATCATATAGCAGATAACTCCCTACTTTCTTCACACCAACTCAGACGGCGTACCACTCAGCAACTATTGACAAGAACTGCGCGACTATAATCTAGTCTCAGTCCAAACCTAAACCCGACCATGCACTGCAGCAGAGAACCATAGTTGAAAGCAATCACATATACGCCCCTACAATCCAGTCTGAATAGCTCTTCGAACGAATCAGCATATCTATATCAGGCGGAAAGAAAAAGAAAAAAAAAAGAAAAGAGAAAAAAGACTAGAGTAACTAAGAACCCCGCTACCCCAAGTACCCAGCCAAGTAACGCATGGCTAAATATATATATATACATATTACCGTAAGCAAGCAAACCAAAACATCATACTATGCTGCCTATCAAATCCAACGGTCTACATACCCCACAGAGACAGACTAACACTAATTACTCTGTTTAGTATTATAATATTCAGTGATCGAGTATGCACGAGACATGATTGAGATAAATGACTAGCTAGGATGTTTGAGAATATCCGTCGTGGGTGTGTCTATGTAGCATTATCCGTCTATCTATCGAGGGAAAAAAAGTCATGTGGATTATAGAATCATATCTGAAGACTTAATCTCCCTTTTGGGGGTGTAATCTGGCGGTGATATGTTGAGAGAACATGGAGTCGATGGGTAGGATATATATTATCGTCCGATGGCAGTTATGGGAATGATGGAATTGTCTGAGATGAGTATGATATTGTAATTTAGCTGACGCTGTCAGGTAGCTAGAGCGCCACTGCACGAAGCTACTGCATGATAATCGACAAGATCAGATTTACCCGTTGAAGCAATCTAACCTTGCATATGTGGCAGATGAGGCGCTGAAAATAACGGTCCTATGGTTCGACAGTCCAAATTCTAGGGGAATCTACTGCATATAGCCATCGTAAGCCGTTATGAATTAGCCTATACAAACAAAGAAATCCATGGATACAACCCAGTTAGTGAACACAAAATAAAGTATAGAAGAAAAAGGTTATATCTACTACATGACGATCAAGTGTACGGAGAAGGGAAGATAAACCAAGTCCTGTCGGAGAGGAACGCGGGACGACAGATACAAGAATGGAAGAAAAACTCCAAGCAAAATTGGTCAAGAACTATAGACATTCACGCGGGATGCTTAGAACTGGTCAATGCAGCCCCAGTACTGCTCAACGTCGTACTCGCCGGGGTCCTTCCACAGGTCGTTGGCGTAGGAGAAGAAGACGGACAGCTCGCCGACGGACTCGCGGATGCCCTTGATGGCGGTGGTCTGCTCGGTCGTACCGGGGACGGCAGCGCCGTTGGCGTTACCGGCGCTGGGCCAACCGGTCTCCAAGTTGATGACGTCCATGTCGGTACAGATCTTCTTCAGGAGAGTGACTTCGGACTGGGCGAAGGTACCGGCCTCAGCGGCGGTGGTCTCGGAGTTGAAGAAGGGGTGGATGTTGGCACCCAGGACATCGACAACAGAGCAGAGGTTGCTGCTGCCGTACTCCTGCCAGATGTTGACCGGCTCAGTGGTGGTGATCTGGCCAGTGTAGCCGGCGGCGGAGAAGGTGGACTTGCAGGAGGTGATGAAGCTGGCAAGCTCGGCGGCGGTGGTGTAGCCATCCTGGATGGCCTCGTTACCGACGACGATGAGGGTGACCAAAGACCACTCACCCCACTCGGTGATGGCAGTGACCTGGTCCTGAGCGCCCGAAGTACCGGTGCTGGAGATGTAAACACCCAGGATCATCTTGAGACCGTACTCCTTGGCAGCGGCACCGACGTACTCAAGGGTGCTGCAGTCGGTCGAGTAGACACGGATGTGGGTGAAACCCTTGTTGGCGATGGTGGCAATGTCAGACTCGATGGTGGACTTGGACTTGCAGCCACCCGAGTTGCTGTAAGGGGTGTAGGTCATTCCCATGCTGTTGCCGCTGGCGCTGACGCCAGAGCTAACGGCGGCGGTGGCGGAGCTCACGGAACTAGACTGGACGGAGCTGGTGGTTCCAGCAACGGTCGTGGTACCAGCGGCCGCGCTCGTGGTAACAGGAGCAGCGGTGGTAGTCTCGGCAACGGCAGTCGTGGTAGCAGCAGCAGCGGTGGGGGTCACAGCAGCGCTAGTGGACACAACAGTGCTGGTAGGCTCGTTGGCATTGGCGAAGGGGCAAGTGTAGGTGTAGTCGGTCACAGTGACGGTCACAATCTCAGCACTGTGGGTGTAGGTGCCGGGGTAGACGGTGGTGGGAGTCGCGTAGGTCACAACGGTGTTGGAGGGAACGTAGGTGGTGGTAGGAGCAATGGTGTAGGTGCCAGCAGAGGGGCACACGTAGGTAGTGGTCGCAATGACGCTGGTGACGGTCGAGCCGGTGGAGCTGACGGTGGCGTAGGGGCAGACGAAGGTGGTCGAGGTCTCGACGATAGTGGTGACACCACCGTAGGTCTGGGTACCGCTGGCCAGGGAGGTAGTGGTATCAGCGAGCACGGTGGTGGTGTCGGACACAGTCACGGTAGAAGCGGGGATAGTGTAGACACCAGTCGAGGAGAAGGTGGTCGTCTCAGGCGTGGGAACAGCCTGGCTGGAGGTAGAAGCAGCCGCGACGGGAGTGGAGGAGATCTCGCCGACACTGCCACCAGCAGCACCGGTGGCACCGACACCTTCGGTGGTGCTAGGAGAAGCACTTCCAGCAGCACCGCCGGTAGCACCAACGGGGGTAGTAGACTCGCTAGGAGAAGCACTGCCGGCAGCACCACCGGTGATGCCAGTAGCACCGGCACCCTCAGCAGTAGTAACAGTCTCAGTGGCGGCGGATTCGCTAGCGACAACGGTAACGGTGGTGTAGCTGGTGGAGTGGAGGGTGGTGACGGCCTCGGAGGTCACGGTGGTGGGGGCAGCGACAGGCACCACTTGAGTTGGTCAGTCACATACACCAAACACGAACACGAAGACGTCACGGCAACAATTGCGAGGGTAGGATTACTCACGGGTAGGAGATCCCCAGACGGTGACGACCTCGGTGGTGCAGCCGCAAGTCTCCTCAGGCTCGGCCTGAACGGCACGACGCTGGTGGAAAGCATCGTGACCACGACGCATGTGAGCGCCATCAGCCAGGGCGGTACCGGCAAGGGCGGCGGCCGCGGTGGCCAGGAAAGCACCCTTCATGTTGATCGGGGGGTGATATCAAATGGGGTTTTCAGGTTTTCGGAACAAGTCAATCGCAATGAATGCCCGCTGAAAGAGTGAAGCGGTGGTCAGGGTTGCAGAGAGGGAGGAAACCGGGGGAGAGAAGGGCACGCCGGCCTCTTTTTGATAACTTTCTCAGGGAGGAGAAAGAGACGGACGATCTGCAAGACAAACCCGGGAGGAAAGGAGGGGAAAGAGGGAAGAAAAGCAAGCAGGAGGAAAAGAAGGCCGGAAATCGGGCGGTAGAAAAGACGAGCCGGAGTCTGGGCCAACAAGCCCCCAAAATCCCAATGGCAAAAGGGGGCGGTGGGTGGAGGCCAGGCACCCACTGCCCGCCATTGGTGGCCGGCTCAGTCTCTTCCAGTTTCCACTCGACGCCGTCCACTGGTCGTCCGCACGGCTCGGATAGAGGTGGGGGGGGAACCTGAGTCCGTTGGTGGAGCGACTGTCGTTCAGCTGCAGGGCGGCCCCCGTGATTGGCTGCGGCGGATCGAGATGGGCTGCGCCAGTGAATGGCTTTCGAGCTTTCGTTTCAGAATCTTTCTTCGCCGCAGATGGCCTATTACCTAAATACGGTGGGTGGTGACAGTAACCGTTAATATGATGCATCCTGACATTCAGGGTCTTCTTCCTTTCAATGGATCGGGACTGGCGCCCGCTTGGGGAAATGCAGAATCAACCTGGAACAGGGACATCCCATCGTCCGGGGCTTGGATTAAGATTTTCCGACGAGGAGGGAAACTTTATTACACACTGCCAACCATGCCTGGACCTCATCCTATAGTGCGTAGAAGAATCATGGATCCGACCGAGTGATAGCTATCTGAGACCATCCAGAGTACCTACTCCGTACTCCGTAACCAAATACAACAAAACAATCGTCATGGCACTCAGTGGCCACAACAAAAGGTGCGCTGCTTTGTGCTGCTGTGCGCCTGCAAGGAACACTCCAAAGTCTGAGCCCCACCGGGCTGCAGTGCCTGTTGTGGCTTTCCCCGAAAAGGCTAAGTGGCTGGGTCCGCTGTCTGACTCTGCCAATGGCTATTGGATATTGCAACACCTTAATTTCCGGAGGCCCACCGACGAGGGATGGCGACGTGGGAAAAGCCAGGTACCATTATTTGGTCTCAATGGATCAGGATACCCAGGAGGCGTCCCAGTCCCGTGGTTGGCTCAGCCTCTGCACGGTTGAGGAGAATGCTATTTCAGGCACACCAGCGGGATGAAATCATGAAACAACAGAGCAGAGGCAAATTCGCCAGAATAGAAACGGCTGACTTTGCTGTCTGACAGCCACCTCGGGTGGTCTTCCGGGAGTGACGATTTGCCCCTTTACCACGGAGTATGCCGTACGGATATTCGACATAGAATCACAGCCGTTCTGAAGTCCAGAGCAAGGTTCAACCCTACGCATGGACTCGCGGTCAATTATTGTCAATAAACCCAGGGGTTATCGTCTGCCTCGTCGATCCCCATCTCACTCAGCATAGCACTTCCTAGCACTTCCTAGCAACGTGTCGATCAGATCGAAATCATTTTTGTTGATTGTTTCTGTGGAGATGCTCGTTGACAAAATTCATGCCGAGAACCGAGCCAGGCCTGGCCCGATATATCTCTCTGGGTATCCTTGGCTTCTAATCCGTATGCTACTACTAATCTCGCTACGAGTCAGGGCCTTGGGGGCGTCATCACTCCAGGGCCCAGCCGCCACGTCCGCGTATCGCCCCTCGTGCCACAGCCTCACGCCTCGGACCCCTGACTATCTACCCCGGACTTTGTATATAAGTACGTGTGCCCACTGTCTGTAGTCTGTACCACTATTGACGGTGAAAATACACACAAAGAATCCCGGTCTATCCGTTCAACAGTCCGAGACAACTGCATCGTCCGCAATGGATCATCGTCGCCCGGTCTCGACCGGTCAGTGCTCAGCATCCTCCACTGCGGACCGAATTGCCCCTGACCAGGCTTGGCTTGAGCCTATCTGAGAAGAGGCGGTCGTCGTCGGGGGTGCTCATTTGAGAAGTTTCTTGTGGTCTTGGATAGGTTCCAGCTAGCTCACTAACAGTCAATAGTCGAGTTGCGGTGAGACATGATTATCCTGAACATTACCCCTGAAGGAGTGTGTTGGACGGGGTACTCGTACTTCGTATAAATGTCGGATGCCGCGAAGGGTCTGGGGCGTAAAATCCCGCTGACGGGTTCTGGAAGATTCGGATATTACCGACTCTCGGAAGCGTGCTCGCTACGGAGTACACTGTAATCTGTACTACACGGCTGTCTCACATCTGACACCTCTTCAGCATCGTAAAGACTGACAACACTAGAGGAATGTGTCAACTTGACAACGTTCACACTTCACATTCCTGCCCTGCGTTGACAGTTCGCATTCCGGGATGACAACATGGCCAGGAATCGGAATGGTGGAATCCGACCGGTCGCATTTCGTCCCCGCTCACCATCCAGTATCCTCTGTAGAAGTAATTCATCGCGACAAGCACAACAAGATTCCAGCCTTAAATAATTCCCATGAAGCCATCGCAGTACTATCTTATCTTCCTCCTCCCACACCCCAACCCAACCGCAGCACCCAAAGATCGTACCACCACCTCACCGACCAGATCAGATCATGATACCTGCACCACCACCACATCATGCCACCCACCACGCTCGCACCCAATCCCAACCACCACCCTCAATCCTTCTTACAATTCTCGTAAATCCAACATATTCCATTGGCCGAGGAACGACACCGTCTCACAGATCTTCCGAATTAACCCACCCACACGTGATCTTACCCCGGATATGACCTACACCGAAGTCAAGAGGATCTGGTGAGGTGATTCGGATCGAGAGATGCCAGGTCTGGTTCCGGGGGATAGACTGAGCTGGTGATGGTGATGGTGGTGCGATGCGTTTTTTGTTGTTGCCATACGGCAGTTGGGATTCCGGGTGCGTGAATACTATGGTTGGTGATATGGTGTATATATAGCTGGTAGTACATACGTCGTTTATATCTTAATCAATCAAACACAGCTTCAAGCGACCGACATCTCACATATCCACTTCTCTACTTCGATCTTCATCTCACCTAAACAAAGAAAAGCAAAATGGGATCAACAACCACCACCTCCTCTGCCCGTCTGCAGAACGACTTTGGGGCCGACCTATGGGTGAAGAATACTCCTAAACGGGTACATCCCTCTCTCCCTATCTCTCACATGTCCATCCCCAATATACTAATCAACATGGAATAGCACCCCACAGCAGGCCGTGGCCTCTTCGCCGGCCTCCAAGACATGAAAAGCTACAATGTCGACTCTGGCTGGGCGAAGCGCAGTGCCGCAGACAACCAGGGATTCTTTGCAAGTTTATTGAGTCGGTATGTTCTCTTCTCTCCGCTTTTTCTATAATTCAGCGAGATGTACGGAGTATATGTGGTGGGTAGAGGCTAATATAGGATTTATGTTGTAGGTTCGTGGGTGGATCGTATAAACCTCCTACCGATTGACTGCTTTGGGCTTGGATTGGCATGGATCTTGTGTGATTCGTTGGTCGTATACGATACTTCTTCTGTGTTGATATGAGGGATGATGTTTGGTGTTTGGGATTTCGGCTTTTGTTCAGCGGTTAGATGATTGATTTCAGGAATGATGATACCTTTTGAGTTGTTATTGGTTTGTTCATACGTGGGATGAAGGGACGGTCGGGTGTAGAGGTAGGTGTTTGTTGCTCAGGGTCAAATGGTATAGACTGGTCTAATAGGCCAGCAGAAAGTGAGTCTAGCACAAATATGACTTAGTAGGCTCCTACTCAATCAGGTTTAGCGCCTGCCTGGGAGGCCTTTGGAACTTGGGGTACGCGGTCTCCGTCTCTTCCGCACAAACCCATCGTCGGCAGGCATATCATCATGTTCTATCAATCTCAGAAGTATTCATTACGGAGATAGACCGATGGCCCGCTGGGTGGCAACTGCTCCAGCTTCTTTATTGCCGACATCGCTAATACCCAGCACACGTGAGCTACAATGCGGATATTATGCTGCATGTCCGCCTATCGAAATGGGCCACATCAGTGTAGCTAAGTATGTTTGCTTATCCGTACTCCACTCCGATTGACGCCACAACACTGAGGGGACGAGGATGGAGAGAAATGTTTGCCTTTTTCACAAGAGTCGCTTGAAATATCTGCATTATCTTCCTCGCCCCCGCTCTAGCCTAATACAAAGATAGCTGAGCGCCGGCATGCCCCGCGCGAAGCGGGCCTTCCGCCAAGCTTCTTTCACTCCTCTTTCTGTCTGGCGGAGTTCTCAAAGCTTTCCTGGATACGCCTCCTCATTAAGGCGTTACGTTACTTATCATGGACTCATATACTTATTCAACGCTTCCTCCAGGATCATTTACTCGAATAATCCGCTTTCTGCCGCATAGGGAAAGGAATGCCCCAATTGAATGCAAACTTTTGGACTATGACCTTTCAGATATAAGCAGCGGAAAACATCTCTACGAAGCCCTTTCCTATACATGAGGAGATGCTAATCAACTCCGGTCAACAATACTGGATGGTCGTTCTCTTCCTGTGACCAAGAATCTACATACGGCACTGTCGTACCTTCGGGACCATCAACTGGAGAAAACTCTATGGGTTGATGCCATCTGCATCAACCAGGGTGATACGGGGGAGAAGGAGAGGCAGATTCCGTTCATGCGAAATATTTATGCACAAGCCGATCGCGTCATTGTCTGGCTTGGAGCGTCGGATGATGGTGGCAACGCACTTGAAATTGTTCGCAAGCATGCAGAAAGTAAGGCGCTGAGGGGGCCAGAATTCACTGGCCATTTCCAACGAGCGGACTACAGTACTTGTAAGAAGCTGCTCAAGCATGACTGGTTTCGCCGCATATGGGTAAGAGACACGTTGAGGGTTCTGATTCATAGTATATCGCTAACACCTCGGGTAGGTACTCCAAGAAGTTGGTGTTGCTCGATGTGTCACCATTCAGTGTGGTTTGACTCAGGTCAACGGGTATGCCTTTTGTGAGGGTCTCAGCCGACTGCATATGTCCTCTTTACCGCAATACATCCTCCCAATTATCCCTCTTATCAGGGGTTCAGTTTTCCGGCCACGACATACAGCTATTTTACGTGGAACCCTCACAATGGGAGAGCTGGTTGACATGTATCATTCCCACTTCGCTACAGTACCTCATGACAAGATATATGCGTTGCTAGGCCTGTGTGCAGATGATCTCAACACACCGTGTCTGAGACTAGATTATCATCTCCCATTGGATGAGGTCATCACACGAGTCGGATCATACATTTTTGGAGGACAATGTACGGTGACAATTTCGCCTGTCACCCACGCAGCGGTGATCAAAGGCAGGGGGTGGATCTTGGGTCAAATAAAATCCGTCGAAAGGAGTGCTTCGGGATATGACCAACAACGCATTGGTATTGCCTTTCATAACAGTCCCCTGGCGCAAAGTTTCCAGAGAGAGTGGGGAATGGAATGGGTACTTCAGACTTCAGCAGCGTCAGTCCAGGAGGGTGATATTGCCTGCCTCTTACAAGGATCCTCAAGGCCTAGCATGGTTAGACTTTGCAAAAGCAAAATTACCGTGATCATAAGCACAGCGGCACCTAAGAGAACTGCAGAAGAAGAGGAAGAAGACATTTCCCACGTTCTCCCTGAAAAAGCGATATCCGACTACCAGTCGTCGCAAGAAACCGATGCCATAGAAGGGAACCTCATTCTATTCTTACGTGGGCCATAGGTATGGCTAGCAGCAAGGACAGTGATGGGTCAGATGGTTCAATGCAGCTCGCGCCAAAGTGCCTAGATTCATGGGAGGGAGACGAAGAAGCCTCAAGCTGCCAGAAGCTCGTCATGGAAGAGATTTTTATATACATGCTGGAGCAAGAGAGCCTCAGAGGCCATATTCAAGTGCTGGAGCGCCTGCTTCGCCAAAGTCCAATGTAAATTCCCCTCAACGAGAGAATGCTCAGGGTTGCAGTGGCACATGGATCTGAGCCGTATATACTTTTCAAGTCTTTTCTTTACGGCCAGTTGGAGAATCTACCGATCACAGAACCATTACTCACAGCAGCAGGAGGTGACATCTATGACTTAATGCGTCTATTGCTTTACCGAGAGGATTGCATACCAATCTCTGAAGACATACTGCAGGCTGCAGTAACAAGGGACAGTGAAGATGTCTTTGACGTCTTCCGGCTTCTCTATCAATACCAAGGAAGCCTATCAATCTCTGAAGATGTGCTTAGGTCTGCACAAAGCAAAGACCTGAAAGTCTACCTTGAGACTCTGAGACTTCTTGCTCGTCAGCAACCGGTCCCGGAATATCAGCTTATAGCAGCAACAGGGAATAATTCAAGGGGACTTGAAATCATAGAGCTCCTTTACTAGCATCAAGAGAGCCTACCAACTATTGAACAAGTGGTCTCCGCAGCAGCAACTAATTATTTATGGGGACTTGAAATCATAAAGCTCCTTTACCAGCATCAGAATATCTTACCAATTACTGAAAAAGTGGTCTCTGCGGCAGCAAGGAATAGTCTAAAAGGACTTGGAATTATAGAACTTCTTTACCAGTATCAGGGAAGTCTATCAATCACTGAAGAAGTGGTCTCCATAGCAGCAGGAAACCATGTTCATGGTTGTGAAATTATAGAGCTCTTCTACCAACACCAGAAGACCTTATCAGTTACTGAAAATGTGGTCCAGGCAGCAGCAGAGAGCTATAGAGGATCTGATATTATAGAGCTCTTCTACCAGCACCAGGAGACCCTACCAGTCACCGAATATGCGCTCCAACAAGCAGCAGCAAATTGGAGGCACTGGAATATGAAGATCTGCGCGTACGGCTGACGAAATCTCTTAAGGAGGCCAAAGCGAAAGCCCTCGAAGGTGGAGAAGAAGCCAGCAATGCTCCCAGTGAGCTCGAATTTGACGGTTGGCAATCTTCTGAATGAGTGTGATGATGTATGATGGCATGATGGCTTGGACCGGCTTGGAATATGACCACACTGTTTCGTTCTTCGTCACTCCATCGTGTCTGATCCTTGGTGTCTTCTGACATGAGCTGTCTCGATGACTTTGACCTATGTTATAATGACTCCTTCTGACACATTGCCTCAAGGGATATAGCGTAGACTAGAGGGACTAGAAATAGTCAGTAAGTGACCAGTCGCCAAGCGGGATGAACGTAACACGACACGTATCTCACGTAGGATATCTCAGTGGTGAGCCATACTGCAAAACGGGTGAGACGAGAAGTCGTCCTCATCTACATGTAGAAGATGAATAGATGGTATAGGTGCATCAAGTTGATAAAAAAAAGATCAACTTGACAGATCGACGACCTGACCAGACCTTGCGAGGAGTAGAAAAGTAGAGAGGAGAAGGGAACAAGATTCCCACCAAGCGAGGAAGTGAACAAAGACGACAATCTACCCGGTCACCTGACACGAGTGAATCTACATCAAGTCATCAGAAACATAAGTCCACAACCACAGTCCACCATATCAAAAGCCACATTTCCACCTCCCAAATACACCAGTCCTTTCCACCGAGCGACCCAGAATGACAACCCTCATCAACAGAACTACCCACATAAATCCTACACCCCCTTCAACAACGCCCCCCCATCACTCCCCACCCTCTGCCCCGTAACAAACCCATCCTTCATACACCACAAATACGCCTCCGCGACATCCTCCGGCCTCCCCACCTCCCCCACCAACGTCCCCCTCCGAAACGCCCCCAAATACATCTCCTTGACCTCCTCCCCTCCCCCCAACCGATCAAATATCTCCGTCTCCACCGCCCCCGGCGCCACCACGTTCACGCGAATCGGCGCCAACTCCACCGCCAGTCCCCGCGTCAGGCCCTCCAGCGCCGTGCCCATCGCTGCGCCGCCGAGGGCGAGGCCCGCGATGGGGCGCGCGGCCAGGACCCCTGAGGTGAAGGTCAGAGAGGAGGTGGAGGTGTCGTGGAGGTAGGTTTTGGTGTGTTTGCCGATGAGGAGGGGGGCGATGAGGCGGAGGGTTGTGTGGGGGGAGGTTGTGAGGCTGGTGGCGGTGATGGTGGGGGATGTGATGGGGGTGCGGGGGGGGCTGGTGCCGGAGGGGTAGATTATGTGGTTTAGTAATACCTTCTCACTTTCCTTCACGGTGGTGTCTTCGGTGGTGGGTGTGTTAGGAAACAGAGAAGGAGACGTCGCGTATTCGAGCAGCGCAAGGAGATTCGTTTCAACCGTGTCTTGATCGCCTAGATCACACGCTTGACCGGCAATACGCTCGGTATACTCTGGAGTCGGATAGAGAGTCTGCAAACGAGCAATCGTCGAGGCGACTTTATCCGAGTTGGAACTAGCGATGATGATATTGGCGCCATGTTCGAGGGCGGCGCGGGCGACACAGAAGCCGATGCCGGAGGTGCCGCCGAGAATGAGCACCCGGGTGTGGGCGAGTTTGTTGATGGAGATGAGAGACGCTGTCATTTTGCTGGATGAATTGGGGTGGATGAGTTGGATGGAGATGGAGTATATCGGTGAAATGGAAGTTGGTGAAGGTATAAGTAGTAGGGCTAGGCGGGGGAATGTTATGTCCGTCTAAGTCCGACATGTCAGACCGGGATTCGGGCTCTTTTGGCGGAGATTATTGCGGTCCGGATTCTTGGCCGGTCCTTGCGCCATGACTATCGTATTCTTATGAACTTCTATGTGACTACTGAAACCAGCCTAATGATCAGGGAGGAGCGCGGTATATCAGAAACTAATCAGCGAAGGCATTTGAAGAAGCTGTGTATACCACCACTAAGGGCCTATATACTAAACCGACCAGATCCATGCTGCATGTGCATATGCCCACCAAACGGTCTTCGGCTGGAACGATCCCAGCTGTCAATCCCAGTGTACCGGGATGGCCAGGGAGAGGGTCCAGAGCCTTGGAGCCGTCTTGTAGGTTCCCAAGCAGGATATCTTGGGTATGCCTCCCACCATGGTTAAACAAAGACAGCTAGAAGCATGCTGAGTACCTCAACGAACCTAGAGAGTCAGGCCATGCTGAGGAACGATGCACAACACCACAGGGATCCCGCTGTTATAGTCTTCAAGAGGAGTACACATGCATTGATGTTCATATCCGTCATTACTTATCTATAATTCTTTCGACGTAATCGAATGCCACGTTGGTCAGGTATACGGATTGATAACAATCAGGTTAGATGATAAAAGAATCGAGGTGCGTGGATGTTTATGAGATTCCACGAGTAGTAGCTCGATGGACCGACCCTAAGTTCATGATTATCAGGTTTATTTAGGGGGAACTTCAGTTGAGGAATATGTTGTATTGGTCTGTTGCTAGTAGAAAAAAAGGCGTCTATAATCAGCGTCTAGCAGAGCTAGAAATCGGATGACTTCAGCCAAACCATCTTGATGTCCCGTTTAGGGCTATCCCACGCAGTCCTTGCCGACACCCTTAGTATTAGAGCCCGTCTAGCTAACTCTCCAGCTCACTCGATCATCAATACGCTGTAATCTACCTAAATACCTTGAAATTCTACTGCCCGGATTCAACTCCGATATCTCCTTTGAGATTCCTCACTTCGACGGCCCTGTCAGCCATTCAGTGCAGCATAGCCATTTACAACAATTAATGTTTACAGGCCCTATTCCACCCACAATCATTGTTTATCTATCCTATCCTTCCATTTTGGTTTTCTTTCAAATGACCTTTCCTCATTTACGAGTAATGCATTTAATATCCCACTTTTCCTCTTACACACAGATAGAACCGAAACACATCCCCCAAAATACCAACCAACATTAATAACACAGCAATAACGATGGCTGCTGCTGCTGCTACTACTACTACTACTACTACTACTACTACTTTCCCCAAGCGTTCAACAAGACCCATTTATTACCCTCAATCTGAATTCAAGATACCGTAAGGCACCAACTTTTAAACCGAGATTCCCGATGATACCATACGTCGTTGAACCAGCTGTATTATAGGACTGCATCGGCAGACACGCTTCCCGTATCTTTGATATAGAATCCGTTCCGTAAAATAGAAAATACTCTTTTATCATCACCTTCACGCGAATCGGAGATTTATTCTACATATGCCTCCCACAACTTCAAGGAGGCTTATATAAATTCCCCTCATCCTTGATCCATATCCTAACCAGAGTGAGTGTTTAATATACCTACATCTATCCCCACCATTACCAGATCCATAACTCCCGAGTACGATAAATCAGACCCGTAAAGCGTTGATGAGGCTATCCAGTCTACCGCCAGAACCATCCCCACTTAACTGGACGATACCGATACAAGAAGCCGACATGATCCATGGAATGCCGTTTCGACTCTCACCTCCATGCTGAGAATGTCGGGGGGATGTTACTGTCTGCTGATGCTACCACGCTGATAAATTCGCGTATATATTCGCCGCTCAGGATGCTGAGAAAACTGTCATGAGATTAATATTAGACTAGACTAGTCTGCTCATCATCCTGTGCAGTGATTTGATTGAAGTATGGAACCATTGCTCAACTTCGACCATATACTCGGTCCATGGGCTCAAGTCCGTAATAGGGATATTATGGCGAGCGTTGTTTTCAGTAATGGTTTATCAAAGTCAAGACATCTTGACAAGTCGCTTGCATATCGCACGGATATGTCTAGTCCCATATGTTTCAGTCATTGGGGGGATATAATATCATGGGTTCCGTTAGATCAGAGAGCGTTGTGCTTAAAGATATGTCAGCGAGTAATTACGTTTTTTGTATCTTGGATGGTCTCTAGGTGTATGAGTATCGTACCGAAAGGGTTGAGCTCAGGAAATACAATGGAATAGTATAGATAGCGAGACGATATTTAGCTAGATTATGATGGTGGAAAGGAACCGGTTTGGGGCTGTAGAGGGAATTTACGGCTTTTCATATGCGGTGTCATTAGGGGATTACTTGATGCTAGTCACTAGTCTTTATCTGGGGTCAATAGGTTGGGGAATGGAGGGTGAGTGATGTAGTAGAGTTAACTACACGTATTTCACTGTCGTTAGTATATGGTTTGTTCCTGGAGGCCACCCTGGATAGGTATCTAGTTCCAGGACAGTCCTCTCATGGAGATGGATTACTGCACTGCTACATAATGGACGCTTTTATTACGCTCGGTAGTCCATGGCATCGAGCTAGTCAAATAGATGGTATATGCATATCGACAACCCTTTGGCATCTGTACACTTACTCCATGCCCAAAGGCAGCCCAATCCAACGGTAAATCATCTTAAACAATGGTAAAGAAACTCGCTATAGGTATCATATCTAATCCCAGCCGCTGATCTTCATCGTGCCCTTCTCCTGCAGGTTCTGGTGCATCTTGAACGCCTGGAACAGCAGGTGGGGCTCGTGTCCCATGCCCTTCTTCATGCACTCGTACTCGGCCCGGTCCAAGTAGTCCGTCAGGATGGGCTTGTAATCGGGGTGCGAGCACTTGTCGATGATCACACGAGCACGCTCGCGGGGAGCGAGACCACGAACGTCGGCCAGACCCTAGATTGTTAGCAGAAGTTATACCATCGGCATGGATCAACTCACCTGTTCAGTCACCACCACGTCGAGATCGTGCTCCGTCTGGTCAATGTGGGTACAGAAAGGAACAATGCAGCTGACACCGGTCGGGTCCGTCTTGCTGGGCCGGGTACTAGGCGTGTGCATGATACTGTACTTGGAGCTGCGCAGGAAGTCGGCCGAACCACCCAGGCCGTTGAGCATGCGCGAGCCCATGACGCAGGTGCTGTTGGCGTGGGCGTAAATGTCCACCTCCACAGGGGTGTTCATACCGATGCAGCCCAAGCGACGGATGATCTCGGGCGAGTTGGACACCTGCTGCGGGCGCAGAAGCAGCTTACCCGCGTAACGCTCCCAGTTGTCGTAGAAGCGCTTGAACCCCTCAGGGGAGAAGCGGATGGACGTCGCCGTGGCGAAGTCAAGGTTGCCACTGTCGAACAGATCCAGGAACGAGTCCTGCAGCACCTCCGTCCACACCTTCAGGTTGGTAAAGTCGGCACCACCCTTGCTCAGACCGCCAACCACCGCGTTGGCAATGTTTCCAATGCCGGACTGGATCGGCAGCAGGTTCTTGGGCAGACGGCCGTGGTTGACCTCGTGCTTCAAAAACTCAATCAGGTTGGTGGCAATCGCCTGCGACCCCTCATCCTCGGGGGCGTTCGGCTGAGTCTGATCCGGGTAGTCCGACTCAACAATGGCCACGACCTTCTCGGGGTCCACCGGGATGTGAGGAGTACCGATACGGTCCTCCGGCTGCATGATCAGGTACGGCTTCCGCAGTGGCGGCACATCCGACATGACGATATCGTGCAGTCCCTCGAACGACGGACTGGCGGTGTTGACTTCGATGATGATCTTATCGGCCATCTGGACAAATTCGGGAGAAGCACCGACGGAAGCACCGGGGATGATGCCACCATCTTCGGTGATGGCGGATGCCTCGATAACCGCGACATCCAAGCGCTTATTAGGCTTGTTCATGGTGTACCAGCCCTGAAGCACAATTAGCCACCACTCGAAACGAGTATAACCACCAACTTACATAAACCAGATCCGACGGAAACATGCTCAGATGCTTGTCGAAAAAGTTAATCTGCCCATTGTTGATGCCCTTGGCAATCTCCTTGCCGACCTGGTGAGGACTCCGACGCTCGATCATGTTCAGCCGCGCCCAGCGGTTTTCGGTTTCCGCCCCGGAAGAGGCGCCCACGAACAGGCTGTATTTTAGCTTTCCCTCAAGCTTGTTTTTCTCGACGTGGTCGGCCAGCGCTGTAGGAACTTTCCTGAAAACCGGGAAGACACAAGGTTAGACTCAGTGGCTGCCACGCGCACGGGATGAACCTACTTAGGATACCCAACCCCCGTGAATCCGGACCAGCCGATGTACGATCCATGGGGAAACAAGTCGATGAGGTCTTCGGCCTTGGCCAGCTTCTTCAAATACGACGGCCGGCGGACACGGCTCTTCAAGAGAGCGGAGGCGGACATTGTGAGGGGGAGGGGGGGCGGAGAAGAAGAATGGTCAGGAGAGAGATGAGGAGAGAACAACGGGGGAAGAGCGGGGAGATAGGGGATGAGGGAATGAGAGAATGAGAGAAAAGAAACTGAGGATTGAGAAATGGGGGAGGGCGAGATAGAAATACGGTACGGAACCCCCGCCACGTTCCACTGCCCCGGTCCAGACGAGGCGGAGAATACCACCTCTCGGGGATAAGGAGTCTAGGAGATGCACCCCCTGTAATCTATCAACTCTATCTGGTTGCTGACTGGCTGTCGATCCAGCAGTAAAGGCGGACTCGCATGCAGGAGGGTGTATGTTACTCCGCGCTCCAGACGGAGCAGTCTAGACTAGGTGCAGCTGTTCGGATGGCGGCCGGCCGGGGGGGGATCCTGTCAGAAACGTATTTATCCAACGGCCTGGCCACCTCGACCTGGGGAAGAGGGTCTCAATGGCGAGCGACCCGAGTCGCCAGGCTTGCTACTACACTGGGTCCCCTGCTCTGACCCTTTTGTGAATCATGGTGACTGAGTGATGGGAGGTGAGTGTCTGGCCGTCGCCTTGCAGGACCTCCATACATGCTGACGTCACGCCGGCGAACTCTCGGGCCGGACCCTTTTTACTAGTGAAGAAGAGTGAGGCCTCGCGGTGCCTTTGCTTGCCTCCCCACGTCACCTTGAGCTCAATGGTCTTCTGGCCTCCACAGGGGAGTCCGTCTCGATCCGGACGAATCGTCGAACCTCTATTATATACACAGGATATCCGCTTTGCAATGCGCCGCGAAGAATGCTCGTCGCGAGCTGGCAGCTGGAGGAATCCCAGGCCGAGTTTGGCCCAGGAATGCGCCGACGGGCTAGTCTCGGGCTGTATCGGTTATCGCTGCTCGGCCACACGGAGCTTTCAGCCCAGCTCCCTCTCGCCTG